TAGTCTAACTCAAACTTGAGTAGACCAGCCAAACTACCAGCCAACAATAGAAGGTATGAGGTGGACTATCACCAATCAAACTCAAAAAGGGAAGTGGGCTTGACCCACCTAGGTGTGGATGTAAAAGAAAATGATGAATGATGTATTAGTGTTTTTTAGAATATAATAAACAACCTTTTTTTAAAAAAAAGTTCTCATTCATAGGCTAATTTAAGTCAATGCTGAGAAGAGAGAGCTTAATTGAAATAAGCAATAGGTTGGCACTATTATATGAAGACTATTCCAGTGCCAAAACCCAATGTGTCCACTTCAATTTCAAAAAGATGGTTGAAGTTTGGAAGTACCAAAATTGGGGTTGTGGAGAGTAGTTTTATGTGTTCAAATACCATAGATGTCTTTGTATCTTAATTAAAAGAATATTTCTTCAGTTGAGTGAGTGGTTGTATGAAAGTGCTGCCGTTATAGAAAAATCAACAATAATAGCCTATAAGGCTTGAAAATTCACAAATCTTCTTGATAGTGTGTGCATGCCATTGTTGAATATCGTCAATCTTAGATTGATCCATGACAACATCTTAAATCAAAATAATATAACCTAAATAATCGATTGATGACAAGCCAAACTTATATTTCTTAGAGTTGATATAAAGATGATGCTCTTGAAGAATAAAGAAGACTCGAATGAGGTGAGTCTAATGTGTTTCTTCCTCATTAACATAAATTAATATCTCATTAAAAAATATCAAGACAACAACACAAGGTGTTTTTGAAGATGTGATTAATAAGTGACTAGAAGGTTGCATGAGGATTGGAAAGGCCAAATGACATGTCTCTAAATTCATATTGCCCATGATGGGTGCATAAGGCTGTTTTGGATATCTTAGCTTTCTTCATATAAATTTAGTGATAGTTAAATTTTAAATTAAATTTATAAAAAAGAGATGCTCCATATAGTTCATCAAGAAGTTCATCTACTCAAGGTATGAGCAATTTGTTTGACGTAATGGCATGATTTAATGCACAATAATCTAAATAAAATCATCAACTACCATCCTTGTTCTTAACCAATATAATTGGGCCTAAAAATGGGCTAGAAGAAGGTTGAATAATACATTTGGCACACATTTCATTAGCAAGGTGTTTAATCTCCATCTTTAGATCTATGAATAACGACAAGGCTGAACTAATACTGACAGTGTATTTAAGAAGAGATGAATGGTGTGATCTACTTCACATTGAGGAGGAAGGCCCAAGGGTCTCACAAAGACTTGAGGAGTCGTGATTGCAAGAATATAGTAAGTTCAAGATTGTTTAGATTGTTGTCTTGGGTGTTGACTACTACTTATGTAGTGGAAAGGTGTTGTAATTTGACCATATGGCCTCGAGTAGTCACAAGCTCCTTTGTCGTAGACTTTAAAGAAATTTCAACTTTGGCTAGATGGAGATTGCTTCAAAGTTCAACTTGTATAGAGCCAATCATAAAACTTATGAGGAGATTTTGGTAATCATATTCAATTTTGCGTAATGCTTAGAGCCATTACATCCCTAAGATATAGTCCACATATCTCAACTAGATGAGTAACAAATCCTTGTGAACTGTAAAAGATTGGATGAGAAGAGTGATGCCCAAATATAGCCCTTAACATAAGATAGATGTCTCTATTGTTATGAGAATTCCGAATTGAGGTGTACTTTGAGTGTGAAGTTTGAGCTCTTCTACTAAATCAATAGAGATGAAGTTATGAGTTACTTCACTATCAATGAGGATCTTGACATCTTGAGAGTCAATCAAGCTCTTAAATTATTGAATTGAGTGAGAGTTTGATCCTTTCGTTAATAGTGTTAGTCAAGACAATGCTATGAGAATGATTTGAATCTAATTTATCCTCAATGACCATAATCAATAATTCTTTTTAGAACTTATGACTAGGGGTGAACTTTTATTTACAAGCAAAACATAGGCCTTTGACTCGTCAATGTTCATAATTAACATAAATAAAAAGAGTCATTCGTTGTGCAAATGATATGGACTGTGGTTGTTGGGGTGGAGGAACAATCTTTGTAGGTCTAGGTTGATAAGATTATTTATTTTGGAGGGAAATGTTCATGTGATATTTATAGGAAAAGAATGTGGTGACCTCTAATTTAGAAGAAGATTTTGTTCTTTTGCACTACGAAGATTTGTAGAATATTCAAAAGTTCAATGGGGGTGAAGAAGAGTGACTTTTGCTCAAATATCAAGTTTAAAACCTTTGAGAAAAATATTTTATATGACATCAATGGAGAGATTTGTTACCACACCCAATATGAGTATAAAATCTCAATGATATTCTATGACTAAATGGTGTTGTTGAAGATTGAATAATTATTATTGTAGTGTTCCTTGTGAGGATTTTTTAAAATATTTCATAAGTTTTTGATGGAAATCATTCCAACTTATGAACAATTGATTACATTCAATCCAATAGAACTACTGAAGTGCCTCATCATCACTAATAAATAGATGGTGGAAAGAAAAATATAGCTCAGCTTGATATAACCACCCATGTGGGTTAGTTCTAGAGAAAACTAGTAATTTGAAGTGGTGAGTCGTAAGTTTAGAGTTGTAGTAGTACTTGTCATTGATGCGAAGTCACTGATATTATTCTAGCTTGAGGAGTATGATATTATTATCCTAAGAATGGAAGGATTCACTAATCATATCCCTCTTCCTCCAATAACTCCTAGAAAGTGATTGTCGAATTTGTGACAGAATACCCTCCAAGCTATTGAAACATTATTTATTGCAAGCGTCCACCTCTAGAATATAGTAGAATTGATCATGGAGCTCATTTAGATCCTTTTCCATACTTTCCACTCTATATTCTATTTGACGAGGTGCCATAAAGAGAATAAGGTTGGAACAATGCTCTAATACTAAATTAGTAGAACCTTGTGTAAATAGTGTTGAGAATGATTGCAATGAGAGAAGAGAGAGAGTGAACAATTGCTAATAATGATAAGAGAAGAGAGAGTGTGAGAGTGTGAGAGGAAGAGACATATTATCTTTCTCAACATTGCATGATCTCTCACAACTAACTTCAAGTAGTTGTTGGTGTGAGAGGAGATCGTGGCAGAAGACAAGGCCATTGGTATGACCACTTATATGGGACATGATGAATTGCTAGAGGGCCATTAGCCATCCACATAAATCAGTGAGAAAAATGAAAGAATTGTTTATTTTCTTTGTAAGGTCATATGCAACATATGAAAAATATTTGCTGCCTTCAATAGAGAATTCATGATAATTAATTTTCCCATTAATGATATAACTCAATTAAAAAGTTTATGAATAAAGTATCTTCAAGATGAAGAATTAAAGGGACAAGGCTATAAACTAGAGGGATTAAAATTTAGGGAATAGTGAGATGCTATTGTAAAGAACTAGTTTTCTGCTTGGAAGCAAGAAACCTTGTGAATCAAAACTAATTGAAGACACAAAACTCTTAGAGAATCAGATGAACCTCTCATGCCTAATCATAGGAGAGTTGTCATTTGGTAGGAGTCTCACAACAAAAATGGAAGAGTGTTGTATGTAACTTATTGAGTTGCATGCAAAGTATCTAACAAAAGGCAAGAACAGTGTCACATGATTGATTTTTAATTCCTCTATAAGTCCAGCTTAGGATCTTTGCAAGACTATTGTGCCAATTACGTAGGTTAGACATGATGTTGCCTAAATGTTGTTACACACCTAAACATTGGTCATGCATGGCAAAGAATGAAGATAAGAAATAAATAGATTAGAACAATGTACGGTGAAGATATAAAAATTATTAAAATATGATGAAACCTTTTACTGTGCCTAAAGTATACCAAATATAGAGATTTTACGAAGTTTAGTTTTGGTATTTTTGACTTGATGTTCTTTTTTTTCAGTTGATCTTTACTGCTGATGACTTTAAGCTGGGTTTGGTCATGACTTAGAAAATAATCTCAATCAGCTAATGAAAGTCGCCACACATTTAGTCATAGTTAACTTATATTCTTGAATTTTGCGGAGTAATTGTCAACACTTTTTAGTGAAATGTTGACGGTCAAAGTTACCTTTCCGTATTCCAGCGTTTATTCTAAATTTGAATGGTGAGCTCGTTGCTGGGGTTATCTACGCTTCCAAAGTGTATGATAAAGTTGCCTACTTGGTCAACTCTGCACCACCAGCTGGGTCTACGTGCTCCTGTGAGCGGGACAGCCAGCTGACCGTCGGCGAGCCACAGACGGCGGGCCGTCCCCAGCAAGGGCCGCTCTCGCCTGTTCGGGAAGGTAGCAGATGGTGGTCGCGATCACGGAGAATGATGGGTGCTCCAATGGTGCTCGGCGTTCTGCCGCAGAGATGCGGCAACGGCGCGACCTCCCCTCTCTGTATCCCCGTAGCCGGGTGGCATGCTGGAGAGATCTCTGGTCGGCGATGGACCCACCGTGGAATGGCCGTCGACGGCGGCGGCGGCGGCGGCTCTTGGCGTTCGGATCCGCGGCGAGACGAGAGACCGGAGGGAGGAGGGATGGGCGGAAAGGAAACCATTATCGTAATTGCACATGATATAAAAATAAAAGGTAAAGAATAATTATTAAAGTACATTGGGTTTTTCTCTAGTTTTCCCGTCAATTAGAGTTCGGATTGCGTTGAGCGGGAAGAGAACAGGGTTACCCTAGGGATCCAGTTCATGCGAGGGTGGTCAAAGGTGCTCGTCGGGTGAGGAAGGCCGGAGAGTACGGTGCCGGGAGTAAGAACAGGGGGCGAGAGTGCAGCGCAGCGGCCGGTGGGAAAAGTCTCTTGGGGGTGGGTGAACGTGGCTGGATCGTGGATGGTCCCCTCTGATGTCTTAGCCGTGGGTTGCAGTCTCTGTGAAGGACGGGAGACTAGACACATCGTCCGGCCTGTCGATGCGATATTTTGAGTTTATCGCGCTGTTTAGGCTGAAGGAAACCAATCGGCGGAGCAGGGGCGAGTAGAAACGGCAATGCCGGAGGTTAGCACTCGGCTGCAGGAAGTTACGTCGCCAGCAACGCACTGTGGTGAGTGATGGCCCTTCCTCAAATTGTGGAGGTCCGAAGGGTTTTATGTCAATTCATCTACAAATATCGGATGTTTCCTATCCCGAGTTTATTTATCTTGGATACTCCAGTACATTTCAGTTGTACGTGTGTTAACTGAGAAAAATGAATGGATTGTTATAATTCTTCATATTGGACTTAACATAACATTGATTCATATGGACATCAAAGCATTGAGCTAGGATTGACCTCAACTCGACTTCTTTGCTCTGATGCTGTGCCTTATTCTTACGTTCAAAGTTCTCGGTAGCCAATGAGGGGCTGGTCCTCTGTCTTGTACGCATAAAGTCTGGTTAAAAGGTACTTTTTAATGATCCAACTGGTCTTTCATGTCCTTTGGCGTATTAGTCCTTAGCCTGAAGGTAATTTATTTGCTGTTGTCCTTTTGGCATATTTGAGCTCTGTGATTGCTGAATTAAACATCTTTCTTCTTTGCATGGCTTAGGGATGGAAATATTTAATGGGAATTCGTAGCATATTTGCATCTTTAATACTTGTTATTTTCTTAATATTCGTTGAATAGATGATTGTATCACAAATGTGTTGTTGTTACCTCTGGGAAAATTTGGATTTTGAAAAACACTGCAGAAGAATTCTTTGTGGGATACAAATTGCATCCCTTATTGTACTTCTGAGGGAGAATGACGAGGCAGAAGCTTGTTATTTAGATTCTGAGATATGATAATTTATTTATTTATTTGGGTCAAAAACGTTGAATAGCTAGTTTATTTTCCAGGATGCTTCTTAAATTTCAATGGATTATGTCATTATACTTATTCAACAATGAAACCTCAGAAAATTTCATCAACTCTGTTGCACATTTCACATGGCTATTTCTTCTGTTTGTGTGAGCAGATACCAAAAAAAAGGAGGATTCTCGAAGTTTTATCAACAAACTCTCTCATAGCATATCTAGAGGCATTCATTTTTCTGAACCAGCTTCCTCTTTGAGAACGGATGAAAATAAGCTGGTATATTTTCCTTTTTCATGTTGATGAGCGAACATGTCAATTGGTGTGTAATAATATTGTGCCAATTTTTTTTCTTTACAGGTATGTGGTGTTATACAAATGCTTCAAGGATTTTCCAGCTCCTTTTTTATTTGGGACGAAAACAAAAATTGTTTTCGAGTAAGAAGTGGGGCATTTGTATCTCACTTGTCACAAACTAGCCTAGGATGTATACTGGATCAATTTGTATATAGTGGAACATCCCTAAAGCTAGTAGAACTTTTCGTCAGAAGGGTGGAAGCATTGAAAACTGGTTTTCCTACTTTAGAGGCTTTTGCTGGTTCTGTCTCTTTATGGCTAAAGGTATTCAAGTTTTACCATGTTACGTGACATTCTAATCTCAGACTGGGTTCGAGGCTAGGAACATTTCTTTTTCTAACATAGTTATAAAACAAACTATAGACGAATATTCCCTAAAACCATATTTATTTACTTTTTCTGTGGCAAAGAGGCTGAGGAGTCGTGCATTACTTGAGGAGGTAAATTTACATAAGTTGGACTCCGAAAGGACTGCAACACTGTTGAGATTGACAAATTCGTTATCAAGGTTGGTCTTTTTATGCATGCCTTACCTCATACTCATTAATATTAATTCCTTGCAATGAAATATTATCAACCTTTCTTACAGGTATAATTCACATGTAGTGCTGGTTTTCCTCTTCTATCACTTTGTCTTCACATTCCATAGTTATTATTTTTTTTTTTTTCATCAATTTTTGTTATGGTCTGGATTGTGAGGGACATGATTGAGTGTATACAATAGTCTACTTTGGAGTTTTATATGTGCTGATGAATGTTATTTATGATTACCTATAGACGTGAAAATGTAGAAGTTTGACAAACTAACATCTTTTTGGTATATTTTAACTTTTGAATAGGTTCTAGGACTGCAATCTGGTCGTTAAATTCCAGAAAGGGTAGGTCCTCTGGTACCCCATGACTTGTAGAGTTGGATTGGGACAAATAAGAAGTTTTAATTCATCCGTGGCTTCAGTCCCCGAAAACGTGAAAAGGAAAGCAAAAGTGATAAATTCGAAAGTAACGAGATTGTAGCTTATGCCGAGAACTTCAAAATAATAATGGACTTCTGCCATTTTATGATATCAAAAGTTGAGTGAAAACAAAAGGATCTAAAGCTTGTTGCGTGGATTATTTTTTTGGCTCGTTTTCATGCAATCCAATGTTTATTTTTAATTGGAAATCTGAAACTGTTGGGATTTCAGTTGGATATATGATGAAATCAAATAATGAGTGAGGATTTTAAGGTGTTTAGGAAGGAGATGGATAGGTTATTTTAGGAATGCAACACCACCTAGGTGTTGGTGATAGTTGATGTATGTGGATCTTTTGATGCCTTTCAGAGCATACACTTGTATGAACTCCCTTTTCATAATACATTCCTAATGCGTAGAAATATGCCCAAGAATAATACAACGGAAAAGCTTTGCGTTTAATGGTGTATGGGAGGAGCATGATATAAAGAACTTCGTAGAATTTAACTTTACATGTGGGAAACATAATGCTGATGCTGTACATACCTTTTGTCTGGATCTTTATGGTCGCCCTGTTCTCCATTGAGGAATCATACTACATATGGAGTGGATTGCTATATGAAAATAAAGCTGATCATGTCCTCTCACCTTCCAGACTGAAGCTTCTTTATGTTTGAGGCTGATTATGGACTTTTTGTAAAAAATGATCTCAATCAAAGAAATCTATCTGCAGAAGCCAGCTTGCAAAGAACAGCAAAAAAATGCTCAATTCCTTCTTCATATCGAGTTTAAGAAAAGAGCTCATCTCTCCTGTCTTGAACTTAAACTGAAGCTTGTCAAGTGGATATCAAGTTAACCCGGTTGTCAAAGTCAGTGAAGTTGTTAAAAATGGGATATTCCCTTGATATTGTGCGGTAGGGAGTGTGGTGGGACAAGCTTGATTGAGTTTTCGTCCATTTCTTGCTCTTAAAGTTGGTTGTTGAGATTCATAATGAGAATTCTCTGTAACCTAATATTTTGAGGGATAAATATCACAGAAATTTTTATAAATGAGAACTTTTCCCATTTGAGGAGTCCATGATCTCTCTAGCATGGAATTGGCGATTGCAGCCTCACCTCTTCCATTTGAAGACGGTTAATCGAGGGTAAAGCAAAAGGTTTTCGGAATATAACCAATGAGAAGATGTCTACTTCCATAGAGTATGTCTACTTCCCAAGTACTGTGAAAAATACATTCTACCAATGCTAGGCAGATAAATAAGTAAAGGCTTGAGTCATATTTTGAAGTAAATCATCACAGACAGGAAATAGAAAACTTTATTTCATAACTACGTTGAGCAATATTTAGGGAAACTTATTGGAAGGAAGAAAGAGGCAAAAAAGTACTAGTAGTCAGGATACATCCAAGAGTTTTAGGACAACTAGGGCTGTTGATCCACTGCCTTACAACTTTGGTGCAGATGCAAGGTACTAGATAATGTCTATGTGAGGTCTAAATTTCAGTATTTTTAAAACCTCATGTCCAGTGTAAATAGTTCTCAAATAAATGAAAAATAAATGATGTATGTGTCTGCATAACATATCTAAAATTTTCATTTTAAAATATAAAAAATGTGATGAAATGATTAATACAGTTAAGCAACTTTGGAAAAACTACGGATAAATGTGAATATAGAAATTTAATTAAAATAATAAAATAATCGATGAGTAATCTTCTCGAATAAAAAACTGAGATAATATTTTTCCATTTGCAAAATGCAGTATTAACTTATTGCATGAGTTCTTGATGGGGTGAAGGGATGAACTTTTTGTGCATATAAGAATTCCTTGACATGAAGGGCAGTCAGCCAATTTGAATTGAGCTGTCAGCAGTCCCTTTCAGGAACATGGTGAATTTGTAGATGTGAATGAGTGGTTCCTTTGATGAATGCAGATTTGTTTCTTCTTTGAAAAGGCCTCGAATACGATGGTCTTACCTCAATGCTATTTAAGGGGTGTTGTAAAACTTGACGAGATTGATTTTTGTGGAAGCAAAATTTATGCATAAAAATGGATTTCTTTTTTGGGAAATATCATAAACATAATCCATAGAATGAAGAGGATAACCAAATTTAGAGCTCCCAGAGAACATGGGTCATAATGCCTAAGGCCTTCAATTTATTGGCTCTTTTTTTTTCAACTAGAGGTATTTCAAAGTTATCGACTCTTTATGGAATTTGGAATGCCTTGGACCCATATTTTTCTGTTTTACCTATGTGACACATGTGACACCTAGGGATTGGCAAGAAAGTAGGTCAAAAGAGCCTAAAGAGTTTCTGGTTTTATTTGGTGCCTTATGTATCCTATATTAAATTAAGGACTACCGAAGTATGTTCTCAGCTATATTTTATATTGTATACATCACTAATAGGTTTGATCAATATGTCGCCAAATTTATTGGTGAATAACTGAAAGCTGATTCAAGTTACAGATTGAATGACAACTTACTCTGCTTTGTCTCTTGAGTTTAATGATCTAATGTGACGAACTTCAAAAGGTAGTCTCATTGCTTTCCAACAAACAAAAATATGGTTTTAGTTAACAATATTGAAACAATTTCACAAATGCAGGGATAATATTTGTTTCTTGTTAAATAGTGAATTTTTTATATGATAGAATAATGCGTTACAATTATGCATGTTTTCATTTTCCTCGTATTTTTTCCTATCCATTAATATAGTTTGAACGATAGTTTAAGATAAAATTGACATAATCTTCAAAGTAAATGCTTTTGGTCACATTTTTGGTAGAGTTTTCAGTAAAATTAGGTTTCATCCCAGTGTTATACCATTCTGTGTAAGCAATAATTTTGTGTGTCATCACTTGCTTGCTACTCACTTCCAAAATTGCAACCTACCTGTCTATTGGAGGATATACCGAAACACTTCGGTAAATATTTTCTAATATTAAGGAGTTCTTATTTCCATAGATAACTATACTCTGCATGAACATTCGGTTTGCATTGACCCCATAGTCCTAATTGGAAATGCTTAAGACGTACATCAATGTGAAATAGATTTCTCTTTAATGATGTCTGGGAAAAAATAAAAACTGAATTTCAGGACAGCATACACCCGTTTGGAGTGTGTTCTGTAATTGGATGTTTGTCAAGTAGCTTGTACATAATTGCCAAAAACTTTCGAACCTGTACATAACTGCTAAAACGGAATGAATGCGATTCTGCTCAAGTAGCTTTTTTTGTCAGTCTCTGTTCAGGGGGAGAACATTTACTGCAAGTAGTTAATGGTGCAGTTCCCAGATATTGTCTTTATGCTGAAGCATCTATCCCAGCTGCTGACGTGTCTGTTCATATACTGGACTATCTTTACAAAAGGTTAAATGAAGTTTCTCCTGTTCAAGGTGGAGAGGTTGAAAATCATCATTCCTTGTGATCCTTTACTTCGCTGGATTATGTGCTATTGTTTTCTGACATGGTTTTTTTGTGAATGCAGGAGGAAGCTTATCATATGCTTGTATTTCTTTTTTTGGGAAGTCTGCTGCCATATCTTAAAGGACTCAATTCTTGGCTTTTTGATGGGATTCTTGATGATCCGTATGAAGAGGTACACTATTTCCTATTTAATACACATGCGTAACTTATTTCATATCTCTGGTGTCTTTTTACATTGTCCCAGGCCACACAATATCGTTGTTGCTGGAAGGTATAATTACAAGTGTGTATTAAAAGATCCTGATCTGAGAATATCCTATCTGGGGGAGTTATTGCTTTTGAAAAGAGTGGGTTTTCTGAAGCCTTAAAACACTATTGAATGGCTTGCTTGTGATCATGGTGCATTGTTTCTGAATCAGTCAGCCTGTGAACGGAATGGTTCAACTTGATCAGGCTTTTTTACCTCCAATCGAAAATGTTTGCTTGGGGGGGAGGATGAAAGAAAAGCCAGATTGAAAAATAACATAGTGAATAGACCGAGGGAGCAGGTTGGTCTAAAATTAGTTTAACTAGCCTATATTTGACCAGTATGAACTGATCTCCAACTTTGGATGAGATCTGGACGAATGTAGTCAGTCCCATATATGATTACCTATTTTCAGGTCAACTTGGGCCCGAAAAAGAGGAAGCAGTGGGAGTTGTGTGAGTTCAGAATGGCATCTGGCATAACTGTTTTTTTCGTCCACAATCATGGAGCACAACACTTCCATAAGCAGTGGTCAGTATTTCGAGGAAGAGGAATCAATTATCCATTGTTGCCTCGATAGTTTGTCTCTATAGGAGAGTATCATAACTAATGCTCTCATTGTTTGTGGAATCAATTATTGAAAGTAGAGGTGGAGTCTGTCGGATATCCTTTCTGGGTTCATTAGTCGTGGTCCCTGTTGTGGCATAATTATTTTTTCCACTGCCTCTTGTCTTTAATGTATCCATTTTCTCCTTGGAACGTGGGATTTATTTTGAACTAATACGTAATTCTTTAGTATGTATCTGCCTCCTAATGCTGCATATTGAAACTTACCTTTCCGTGCCTTCTTCAGTCTACGTCCCTTATTTATTTCCTCAAATTCTTCTGGCAGATGTTCTTTTATGAAAACAATTCTGTCACTATAGATCAGCCTGCCTTTTGGGACCAGAGTTATCTCTTGAGATTTTGGAGATTTAAGTCCTTCCCTGATACCTTCACAAGTTCTCTTGATGATGATTTTACGGTTCAACTGAAGGGAGTAAAGGAGCGTGATGAACATATTCTCCAAGGAAAGGACCATAATGATCTTGATGCCATTGTTTGTCCAGTGTTTCTGAAGAACATAGCTAGGGGAATTATATCTGCTGGAAAATCATTGAAGTTGGTGCAGTTTCTTAACAATGAATCTCATTCGATATTTGGAAAAGTTAGCAATGGCGAGGAGAAATACACTAAAATGCGAGAATGCCTGAGCTCTAAGTCTACTGTGATTAACCATCTACCTCTTACTGCAACAAGTCCTGAGTGTACTTCCTCGATCAATTGTGAAACTGTAGGTCTCAATGATGCCTATCGTCAGAAGATGTTTTGCTCTCAGGGTATTGGGTCCTTGACCTTGTCAGAGATTTTCTTGGTTTCCTTCGTGGGTTTAGTTTGTGATGGCAATCATATTTTTGACAACATCATCAAACTGTGTGATTCTTTCTCTGAGATATGTAACACGTGTGAAGTTTCTGCTAACAAACAAAAAATGGAGGAAGTTTGTAGAAGTATGGCAATGAAATTAGATTTTGAAAAATTTTGGTGGAAATTCTTTCTTGGTACAATTATGCGGAGAAATAAAAAATTATATATTCAGAGGAACTTTGGTGTTGAGTGCATGGTTGAGAATATTTCTTTGGGGATAAAAAAAGTAAAGGAAGCTGCATTGCTCGGTCAGGATATCAATGATTACCTGTGTACTGATGACGCGCCAAGTGTTCAGTCCTTCTATCCCGAAAATCCAGCCATTACAGTATGTCGAGAACTTCTAGAAATAAAGTCAGCATTTAAGGAGGAATTGAACATATCTAAAAGTTTCCATCTCCCTTCTTTGGATGATGAAATGCTATGGAAAGCTATTTTTGGTGGAAACACTGATGTAAGCGGCTGTTGCCGAAGTGAAGGAACATACCCTGGATTCAGTGGGACAGACTATGCATTCGGTTTCAAATTTAATGAATCTGATTATCTTCGTCTAGCAGCAGATGTAGAATCTTTGGGAAGCTTGTATCCATTCCCAACTATTCTACCATGTGGCACGGTAAGTATAGCTATATCTTATTGTGCTTTTGTCGAAAAGCCATTGAATTTTTGCTACTAAGAGTTGTGTTTGTCTTAAATCAGGACGGTCTGCCTATGTCAGAGGTTATGCCCTTTCAGGAAAATAGCACTGTTGCCTCAAGAATCTTAAATTGGTTTCAAAATGTAAATCTGAAAGCGTCACCCCTTCCTAGTGTAATAATTCAGAATTGTCTCCAAGTATTCGTAAAGAAGAAGGTTAATACTCGAAACTCAGAAATTTCTTCCCATCACATAGGTGTGCATGAATGCGGGTATGCTAATATGATGTGTACTCTTATTTCTCTTGGCTAAATCACAGATTGATCAGGTTGGCAAACATATATTGCAAAAGCTGATGGATGATTGGCGATTGATGGAGGAGCTCAGAGTGTTGCGTGCTATTTACTTGTGTGGATCTGGTAAATATTTTCCCTCTAAGTTTAATCAAGATTAGTATTTCTGTTTGATGAAAAGCAAGGTGGATTCGGCAGGTGACATCTTACAGCACTTTTTGATATCGATTTTTGGGAAGCTCGAGAAAGGGGACTCCTGTGATGATGATTTTGAGTTGAACACCATCTTACAGGTTCATTACTTTGAAGCTTTTCGTGGTGTATATTAGCTGTATATGGACTATTGCTAACTTTACCTGGATAACTGTGCAGGATTCCATCAGAAATTCTGCAGATGCAGCAATTCTATGTTCCCCAGATTCCTTAACCATATTGATTGCTAAAGACGACATTTCCGGTAGTGAAGAATATGCAATGAACCTTGTTTCAACTCCACGGAAAGTTCAGAGCCTTAGGATCGGTGCCAATGACCTTGACTTTCTAAAATTCACTTATAAGGTCTGTCTCTGACACAAAGTTGTATTGCAAATACTATTTACATTTACTCAGTGATCTAGCTTCCAACACAATAGGTTCCCTGGCCTCTCGATCTGATAGTCAATGCGGACGCAATTGACAAATATAGCCTGGTATTTTTCCTCTTCTCGTAAGATTATTTTGAATTATTAGGAGGTTGCCATTGTTAATATTGCACTCTATGGTATAGGTGATGCGGTTCTTGTTGAGGGTCAAGCATGCAAAGTTTGTCCTTGACAAGGCTAGGATGTGGATGTGGAAGGTGCCTACGTGTTACTTTTCTCACTCTGCATATGTTCTCTCTTCTGTCTATGTAGCAATCTATGACATGGATTTTTAATATTATTCTCGCTAACACTGTAATGACTATCTCATTTATGCCCTTACGCTCACAGGTACGTCAATTCCTCTGTTGGTTGTCTGTGTCTCGTCTAAATATCTATTTTGGATTAAAAAAGTTGTGAACTTCGAGCAATTCATAGCTTATGGCTGATGCACAAAATAGATTTTTAATGGCTCACAATTCTTTTATTTGAATTGACTACCCTTCTCGTCTGGATATTTCCATGATTTCGTCTGGGTTTTCTGAATATCTTTGGTCTTGTTACATCACACACATAGGATGGCGTTAACCTAGCAGATCTCTCTCTTTGTGAAGTGTCGATGTTGACTCTGACTTCGCCTTATTCTTCAGAGAAAGGGCTGTATGACTCGCAACCAAAAACGTCAGTTGTTGGTGGAGCAGAAACTTCTTCATTTTGTTGATGCTTTTCATCAATATGTCATGGACAGGGTAAATCAAAACAAGCTAGTTGTCTTGTATTCTAGAATTCACTTTGAATAATGATTAACTTTTGATCAAATATTCAGGTTTTTCACAGTGGTTGGATCGAACTCTGTCACAATATGGCTTTAGCAGGCTCCCTTGATGAGGTTATCGCAGTGCACGAGGCTTATCTTTTTTCTGTTCAGCGCCAGTGTTTTGTGGCTCCAGATAAATTGGTATTATTCCCTAAGTCTCCTGGGATTTTTATCCTGCTCAGTTTGGCCGATCTTTCTCTATTTCTGGCTATTTGCCTTTATCTTGTTTTGCTTTTCAATCAATCAGTGATTTGTAGTTGCAATTTTTTATGATTTCAACTTAACATATATTTTAATTTTTTTGAAAATTTCTTCAGATGTTATTTTAGTTTGGTAATTGCACTGGTGAGTTGCATTTCCTGCTTAATAATTGTAGGACTTTTGTATCATGATATAATGTCTAATGTTCCACAGTTGATGAATTTTTTTTTTACTTGGAATCATTTTCTATGGTCTCTAAATCATGAGGGCTGCAAGCAGTTTCTTAATATGGTCCTCTGGTTGCAGTGGTCTCTGATAGCAAACCGAATCAAGATCATTCTGGGATTGGCAGTCGATTTCTATTCTATTCAGCGGACACTACTAACTGGTGCAGCTGCCCCTGCCATCAAGACAAGATGTGAGATGGAGGTGGATCGGATAGAGAAACAATTTGATGATTGCATATCATTTCTTCTAAGAGTATACCTTGTTCCCTATTTCCTCTGTTTTTTTCTTCTTTTTTTTTTTATTATTGAGATTGTGGTGAAACTGATATTTTTTCTTTATAAATGTGCAGATCTTGTCATTTAAGCTCAATGTAGGCCAGTTTCCTCATCTGGTAGATCTAGTTACTAGAATTAACTTCAACCACTTTTACATGTCCAACAGTGGCAACCTCCTGACCACACCAAGTTTTGAGCCGGCCTCCAAAGTGGGAAAGACCTACCCGAGCTGAACCGACTGAACCCGGTCTCATTACAATTGTGGAAATTCCTTCACAATACCTCTTCCCCGACCAAATGGAGGCAATTGCAGTGGTGCCCTCCATGCTTTCACCTGACGAGCTTATTTCTACAGCCAGCCGTGGACTCTTCTCCTAGAAGTTAAGGCCATGGAATTTGCAATGCTTCTCTGTATTAACTATGCTATGCTTCCAGGCGAAAACTTGGTAGGGTCTCTGTAACATATTTCTGTGTTAGTTTTCTGCTGGGAGCGTCACTTTTCTAGCAAATGTTGCTACAACCGTTGCATAGGACGATTGTAGATAGATTCATATGTGTCGGTCTGATGGCTGAGTCTATTATTCCTGCCTTCTTTGTCAATATTCTTAGGCTTTCAAATTATTTGTATCCTTCAGTATCTTGCGGAGCAACAAAGAACCTGCTTACTACCTTATGCTTATGGAAATCAGGGAAAATTACTATTCTTGTTGTTCAGGCTTCAAGTTTCCTGGAGGCTTGTTTCTGATTTCTCATTTGAGAATTTCTCATCGAAGATGTGTTTTCGTCTTTTACTGCTCTTTGATTATTCACCCATGATCTTGATTTCTTCATTTTTCTTGCATTTGGTTGAGAGGAGAGTTCCTCAAATATCCACCGATTTATTTTGGTTTTTTTTTATGGTTTTCTGCATCCATTTAATGGTCCAAAATCGGTGCTTTCACAAAGGCAACATTCAATCTTGTCTATCTCCATGTGTTGACACATGTCAGCACTTGAACTTGGAATATAATGATGTCTATAAAATTGCACAAAAGTACTCAATAAGTATGATAAATTATTTTAGAACATTTGCAACGAATTTGAGTGTTTTCTAGGGTCATGAGAACATTTAATTTAGCTGATTTTAGCTCACAATATGAAATGCGATTTTACCCTCGAACATGACTTTTTCAATTCTAAGGCTTTCCTCACTATCAATCATTAAGGTCATCTAACAAGCTAACTCTACAATTAAAAACTTTATCAAGTTATAGTAGGTACACTGTACGTACGATCAGGGTTCACTTCGGAGCTGTGAACGCTAAAACGAAGGTATGGAATCATTTTTGCTTACGCCGTTCTCTCTCTCTCTCTCTGTGTTATATATAACCACGTATTCTCCCTCATGCATTCATTAATTCAGCAACGTGCCCGCTGAACGTCTTCACTCGTATGAGTCTTTATTAGTATATATAGAGATTTCTTAATCCCGCCAACGTGGCCGCTGAACGTCTCTATTTTATTTTTGCGTGCGCGGAGAAAGGAGAACGCGGAGATTTCTTAATCCCAGCAGCGGGCCTCATCACCACTTCGTCAACTCCCCCTGAAAGCCCACGCCCCCCATCTTCTTGTCGAGCGCCTTCGCATGATTTCCAGATATATCTGTATATATATACATAATATTAAATAATATAATATATATAGAGAGAGATATATATATATATATATAGGGAGAGAGAGAGAGAGAGAGAGAGAGAGAGAGAGAGAGAGAGACTGTGGGCGGGTGGGTTCTCGCAACGTGACTAGAGAAAGAATGGTTTCTAGAAAGTAAGGGGAGAACTCAATCGGCATGAAGTAAGGTAGGGCCAGTTTGCAAGTGCCGTATCCACAAGCAAATAACTTGGTACAGAAGCCATTTCAGACGACACTGTTCTGTTAGATCCAAAACGTGATAGAAAGGGTTTCTCGAATTGTCTCTCTCTCTCTCTTTCTATATATGCGCTGTCTGCTTAGCGATCGTTCTCAGTTGGCCTTCCCCTTCATCTAGTAATGGACTTCAACGCCGTCGCTGCCCTTTCGATCCCTGCCCTCCTCTTTCTGTTTCCTTTAGTTTTCCTCGGCCTCCGCCGCTCTCAGCCTCTCTCTACCCGCCGCGTTCCTTCCCCGCCATCCCTTCCCATCGTGGGGCACCTCTACCACCTCCTCTCCTCCCCCTCCCCGCCTCACCACGTCTTCGCCCACCTGGCCGAGGAGCTCAAAACAGATATCCTTATACTCCGACTGGGTCAAGTTCCCACCGTAGTCGTCTCCTCCCCTCATCTGGCAAGGGAGGTCCTCAAGACACAGGACCACGTCCTGGCCAGCCGTCCGGCGCTGCTTTCGGCGCAGTACCTCTCCTTCGGCTGCTCCGATGTCACCTTCTCCCCGCTTGGCCCTTACTGGCGCCAGGTCCGCAGGATCTGCGTCTCCGAGCTTCTCTCCCCCCGCCGTGTTGCCTCCTTTGGGGCCATCCGGCGGGAGGAAGTCGACCACCTGCTGCGTTCCGTTGCGGCCGAGGCAGGTCCGAATGTGGACATGAGCAAGAGGTTCTTCGCGCTGGCCAACAACGTGCTGTGCAGGGTGGCCTTCGGGAGGAGGTTCGAGAACGGGGAGGACGGGGGTAAGATGGGCCTGGTAGCGGTGCTACAAGAATCTCAGAGGCTCTTCGCCGGTTTCGACGCCGCAGAATTCTTCCCCGGCATCCTGGGAGAGGTTCTCAACGCCGCCACGGGGCTGAGGCGACGGCTGGAGAGGAATCTCGCCGACCTGAGGGCCGTCGGCGATCAGATCATAAGGGAGCACAGGAAGAAAAGGATACGGGCGTCGGGCGAAGGCGGAGAAGCTGAGAACGAGGACTTTGTTAACGTGCTATTGAGGGTGCAGAATGAGGGGGGCCTGGAGGTGCCGATCACCGATGACAATCTGAAGGCTCTCGTCATGGTACGACTTACTGCCCTCTCCCTCCCCTTCAGTTTAGCTCCCCCCATTGACAAACGTTCCTCTCTCTCTCTCTCTCTCTCTTGGATGTATCTCCTCTCTACAATACCCATTTCCTCTTTGTGGTGTTGTGTCATTTCCCTCCGGTTAACGACCCTCACAAGCAAAAATGACGTCTCCCGCCGTCGCCGTCTCCGTATTCGTCTACAGGACATGTTCGTCGCCGGAACGGACACCACGTCGGCTACCCTCGAATGGGTGATGACGGAGTTGTCACGGCATCCGGAGGCGATGAAGAAGGCCCAGGAGGAGGTGAGAGCCGCCGTCGCCGGCAGAAAGGGGGCCACAGTGGAGGAGATCGACATCTCCCATCTGCGATACCTGAAGGCGGTGGTGAAGGAGACCCTGCGGCTACACCCGCCGGCGCCGCTCCTAGTTCCGAGGGAGGCCACAGAGGCCTGCGTCGTCGGCGAACATGCCGTCCCTGCGGGAACTAGGGTCCTCGTCAATGTCTACGCCCTGGGGAGGAGCCCCACCGTGTGGGACCGGCCGCTGGAGTTCCTGCCGGAGAGGTTCGAGGACGAGGAGAAAGCGCAGGAGTTCCGGTTCCTTCCATTTGGAGGGGGAAGGAGGGGCTGCCCCGGCTCCACCTTCGCCCAGGCCACCATCGAGCTTACGCTGGCCAAAATCCTCTTCCACTTCGACTGGAGTCTCCCGGCGGGCCTCCGGCCAGAGGACGTCAACATAGACGAGCTTTTCGGGCTGGCCACGAGGAAGAAGACACCCCTCCTACTCGCCGCCACCATGAAGGCCGACTACTCTCTTGAAGTAAGAAAAGGCGACCATTAAATCTGCTCGAGGTCCGAAGTACGAGAAGCTGGGCATTAAATGTACTCTGAGATGCATTGCTCGGCCTTAATAACAGATAAATTCCCGGAGTAGCCAGCTCAAGGGTGACACTATTTGCGCCTTCCGAACTAAATTTTGTTCACCAAATGCCGATCCCAGATTTAATCGCGATCAAGTTCCATCTAGTCGTCTCTAATAAGTATTATTAGCTTAAACATCAGACCTATATGCGGTTCCCAACTGGTCTTCTCTCACCTGACCATGACAGAGCAAACAGATCGTTGATTCTGCTCAGGGTAGTAGAGATGCCTCCATTTCAACAACTCTGGCGGCGCCCAACTCATGGGTAGGCCCAAGTCGATGTAGAATGAGTACCCAACTCCAACTCGCCGGCAGAGGCAACTCCCGAACGGAGGATGGGTAGGTGGGTCGTTCATGGCGGAGATCACCGGAAAAGTCCTCGGGAAAGGAACTATTCTCTTTCTCACTGATCTATGGCAATGTGGGCAGTATTACGCCGCTTATCTACAAAAGAATCATTTGGTTCTCTGTCCCTCCGCCTCTACGACTGATCTCACGGTGCGGAGAGGGCGGTGGAGAGGGAGATAGGTAGCAACCTGAACCTGCAACAGTCGTCGGCGCCCCGCCTTGCTGAGCCTCCGGCGAGCGAACAGCTACCAGGGCAACTGTCCGGTGGTCGGGTCGGTGAAGATCCTCAGGACCCGGTTCCGCAGGCCGGGGTCCTTCACATCGCAGAAGCGGCTGGGCCAGTTCGGCGGCTCCACGGGCTTCGTGCCCAGGCCCGGCGCGCGGTCCTTGGACCCTACATTCTCCTCGTCCTGCCAGTCGGCGACGTAGGTCGCCACCCGCCGGTAGAACTTCTCCTTGAACACCTCCCAGGCCTGGTACTTGTAGTGGTTGATCACCATGGTCGCTCTGTCCATGTTCACGTACCGGAACCCTTCCTTCAGGTGAAAGTGGTGGACGACGTTGATCAGCGAGGTGCTCAGCGCCTCTGGCCGGACGATCGACTTGTGCCGCTCCGGCGCCGACGTCCTGCAGGTGTACCCCACTGTGACGCCCTCCGGCGGTGCCACCCGGTGCCCCGACGGGCCGAAGGTGTGGCACGCCGTCCGCAGCTCCGCGATCTGGGGGAAGGACGTCGTATAGTTGCTCAGCACCTCTTGCAGCGACAGCCCCGGTGACGGCAGGTACAGGAATTCGTCGACGTCGATGAACGCCACCCACTGGCAGGAAGCTCGGGCACGGAGGGCGCAGTGGGCGAAGCCGGCCTCCTGGGCCTTCACCCACGGCCAGGCGTGCCTCGTCACGTTGTACTCCGGCATCCCCCGGAGGGTTTCTTCAATGGCGTCGTCGCTGTTGTTGTCGTAGATGAACCAGCGCCCGACACCGATGCGGCCGTGGTAGGTTATCCACTCCGTCAGGAACCGCGCCTGGTTGCGCAGCATCGTGCAGACGCACATCTGGTGCTTCCCCTCTTGCTCGCCGCCGTCAGCGCCGTCGCGGGGGATGAGGACCGGCCGAGCAACAGACGGCAAGATGTGGGGAACACCCCGGGCTCTGTCCTTGACGGAGACCATTACTGGCCGCTCCTCCGCCGCTACTGCAGAATGCCGGCGAAGGACGCTGAGAGGGGTCCGGCAGCGGACGATCTCCTGGGCGGCGCTCAGAGCATTGGAGGTGATGAGGAAGCGGGGGCGGGCGAAGTCCCAGCCGAAGACGCATTCGTAGCGGGAGGGATCCGAGAGCCTCCCCGGCCGAAGGTTCAGGCCCTTGGCGAAGACGATGGTGGAGTTGTCACGGCCGTCAAGTAGGGACTCGTAGGCGAGGGAGTCCCACGGCCAGGGAAGCACCGGCGGGGCGGCGATCTCACCGCCACCGCCGCCAACGGAGACGAGGAAGCCATGGGGTTGCAGAGGGCAGCGCAGGATGCCCTGACTGAGGTCCGCCGAGATGGGCCGCAGGCTGAGGTTGGACCTGGAGGAGGAGGGCGGGAAGTAGAGGCAACGCAGATGAGGGGATGCTTCGTTAGCCGTGACGGTGGAGGACGTGATTAGAGAATTTTGGGAGGGCTGATGGTTCAGGAAGAGGAGGAGCAGGTCAGGGGAGGAGATGGCCAGGCGGATGTGGAGTGACGAGGAGAGGAACTGGTGGCCGAGAAGGTGGCGGAGGTCTGCTGCGCTGCCGGAGGTGGCGGAGATGGAGTTGAGCGTCGGAGCCTGCTGCCACGTGGTGACCAACACGGGGTGGAAGGAGACTGCCGCGCCATTGCCGGTCCCCATCCGGTGATTTGCAGTTCACAGAAGACACGGAATGTCAGGGAGGTGACGAACCAGAGATATTCATTTACAAATCGTTTGGAAGGAACCAGGAAGAAAAAAATATATATCAGGAAACACAGAAAAGGGAGCGAATGCCGAGAGCGCAATGATTTTCTCTGATGTTCATAGAAAAACGTACTTAATTGGATGAAGAAGACTGGAATCTGACAGCCTCAGCCGAATTAAGTTAAGATACCCGATTAAGGATAACTCTAAATCCACAGCAAAAAAGAAACCAGAAATTACGACGATTTCACATCGATCCAGATTAAAAAAAACCCTAAAACCAGGAAGAAGATCCCTTGGCTTCTTCAAAAGAACCCACGACGGAAGAGAATTGAAGCTTCAACGCGGAAAAAAGGGGAATACAACGTCCGAGGGAAGATCCAATGGATGGTTCTGACCGACAGCACAACTCACAGGTCCTCGTGCATTACAGAGGCATCTGACCCCAATCGAGAAGAAATAGGAGAGGAAGGATACCTCCAAAGAGCCGGAATGCGGAGAAGGTGAGGGCTGAGAGAATGGCACAGCAGAGCACCACCGTCAGCGTGCACCAGGACGACGCCCTCCCCTTGTCTCCGCCGCCGCAGGCGTAGGGCTTCCCCTTCGAGACCAGACCACCGCCTCCCCCGGGCAGATCTCCCCGCTGTTGCTGCAGCTGCTTTCTCCGGTAGTCCTTCATCGCCTGGGGTCGATGCCGGCGACGCAGATCTCCGGAACAATATCGCCTCCGCCACCGCGCCTATCCCTATTCATGAGGCGAACTCGCCGCCCGGATGGGGAAGAAGCAGAATCTATCCAGCACGGGAGGAAGCCATTGCGGAGGAGAAAGGCATGGCGGTGGTGGGGGACTCCTGGGGCGAGGAGGCAGGCCCAAGGAAGGGAATTGCGGCTATTGGCCAGATAAAGCTCAAGGGCGGATCGTGTCTCTCCGTTTATACCAACAATTCCCCCACGTTCACGCCAGACCAAGATACCGGTAACGGTAACCTCACCTTCTCAAGATAACAATGGTCAGCGTAACAAGATACGCAGTGATCTCGCAGTATTACAGTCTCCAATCACCGCCCCAGGCGCCTTTCTTATTAACGCTCTGATTTCTATTAACCTCCTTTATGGGCATAATAGTTGAAAAATACGCCAGACTGGGCCCACAATAAATTAGTAACCGCTATTTATTAAAAGGAGGAATTATTAATTCAATAAATAAATCGCTCAGAATACCTCCGTCGGCGGATCACTGGTCCTTGTCCTGTGGGGCTCACAGTGTTTTTAACGGCAGATCCAACGGGACGCTCAACACGTGTCCCGTGTTCGGCCGTGCGATGGAAAGTTCGCCTGATCGACGGTGGACTACGTTCGACTTCAGATCTACTACGCAGGGTCAGGACAAGAAGCTACTGTGGTGGGGCAAGGAAGAAGTGAAGGGCCTCATTATAATTCTACTTTATTATTTATATTGGATTTATTTTATCCCGAAGAAAGCAAAACGAAATTACCATTTTTATGATGCTGATATAAATGGCCCTTCATCATCGTTTAATAGTACGACCTCCGATTAATGCGATGCCGGACGGAAAATAAAATGCGCAAGATTTCTTGAATTGATTAAAAAGTTTTTATTTAAACCCACATACATGGAATCTGATCGAAATTATTTTTTTTTTACATAAAATGGCGGCGTTGACAAAGTGAAGGGGGTCGACTGACGCGTTGACAATGTATGTGGGTAGAACCAGCCGTTTCTGTTCATGGGTAGAACCCATTTCTAGAGCGAAAGAGAGAGAGAGAGAGAGAGAGAGAGAGAGAGAGAGAGAGAGAGAGAGAGAGAGAGAGAGAGAGAGAGAGAGAGAGAGAGAGAGAGAGAGGGAGGGAGAGAGAGAGATTATCACTGTCTACGCCTACTGCGGAGCTGGATGGCCCTGGAAGCCATGGCCCGCAGGTTAGCTCTCGCCATGTAGACCGTGTTCCTCTCCGGCCGCTGCTGAGTTTCCCGAAGGGCTCCCATCATTTCCTCTCTCTGCAATCTCAAAGCCAGTGCCGCATCCTCCGACTGGCTCGCCGCCGCCGCCCTTCCCGGCTCTTGCTCGCCGCTGAGCTCCACAATCGCAGGCCTCCCTGCTCGGAGTGGCCGTCTTAAAATCCCACTTCGGACGCTTCTTAGTCTCGCGCTACTGCCGTCGGTTCTTACGTTGCCGCGGCTGCTGCTGTCGGGGTTATTGCAGACTACGGGGGCCTGGGTGGCGGATGTCTCCGGCGAGGCGTTTCTCCTTGCCGCGATCTCATCGGGGAAGAGGAGCTGAATTGTGTTCCAGAGGACTGTGTTTACAGTGCAGGATCTCCCGTTTCTGCAATCAAGGATGTGCAGAGTTCTCAGTATTGAAACCCCCCGTTTAAATCGTCAAGCTCTGATCCGTCTGATCCCATACCCAAGGAGATCCCGGCATTTTGGGCAGCGCCGGCCGCACCTCGTGGTCGCACATTTCAAGCATTTTTTGCAGAAGCTGTGTTAAATCGCAGAGTTGTTAGTGGAAGATAGAAATAAATTCCGATGAAGGAGAAGCGGCGAAGGAGTTGAGATCTGATCTACCTGTGCCCACAGGGAGTGGTGCTCGGTTCGAAGCAAATCTCCAGGCAGATCTGCCGAAAATTCCCGCATATTACTCCAGGAAGGAGATCCAGGTCATAAATTCCTAGATCAAGAAGAAGAGATCCCTCACCGCGCAGGAAAGCTCCTCCCTCAACCGGTCCATGCAAGAAATGGCAAGAGCTGGTGTTTTCTCCTTCTTCGCCTCAGAGAAGACAATCTCTGCTTCTGCGTCCGTCTTCTTCGGATCAAAAGGGGGAACGACTGACGGCATCATCCCAGAACGTGAGAGGAAAGATTAATGGGTAGAACATGGGAAAAATCGAACGAGAAGTGGAACAGTGTGGCCAACCCTTTCCGACTGTGTCATCGTCGTCGAGCCTCAGAGTAACTGGCGGTATCCGGGGACTCTGCCTTCGAGATCTTCTTTTCCTGTGGTTAAAAAAGATGAAGATGACAAAAGATTTAGAAATTTCTTCCTCTCTCTCTCTCTCTCTCTCTCTCTGGTTGTCTACCGTCGGGAGTTTGTGGAAGGAGCGTCTGAGGGGCTCTTCAGCTGCTTGGAATGGCGGACGGGGGTGTCCTCGACGACGAGGCTAGCGACGAGGAGGGCCTCCTCGTCCCATCCAGCTATGGCAGCGGCTGAGCGGAAGCGAGGGCTGAGTATGACTCCCCTGTTCCCGTGGATCTCTGCCCGGCTGCCGCCCCAATCTTCGAGTAGCACCGCCGCCGACTGGAACTCGGAGATGATCGGGGCGGTGGTTTCGGCACCTTCTGCCATTTCTCGCAGTCTCTCTCTCTCTTTCTCTCTCTGATTCCTGGTAGGCGGGGGGAGGGGGCGAGTTTTGCTCGTTGTGTGTGTGTGTGTGTGTGAGAGAGAGAGAGAGAGAGAGAGGAGCAACGGTCGATTATTTTGAATTTAGGTGAGCTTACCGTCTGTCCTGTGGGGGCCGTAACGGGTAACTAGGTTTGTGGAACGACTACAAACTGCCGTTTACACTACTTACCTAATGAGTTCCGAAAAAGAGAATATTAAAAAAATGTACTTACGTGCTCAGATTTTCTGTGCTCTGTGGAATTTTGGATGATAGCATTGCATATATTATCTTTAAACTATATATGTGCATATGCTATTATTTCAGTATACATATTAGATATAAACTATTATTAATTCATGGAGAGTCATAAAATAATATTTAACCTATTGATACCATTATTATCATTGTATCTTTAATGTTTGAAAAAATTAATCAGCATCCAACTACCATACAATAAGCAAATACCAAGAAAAAGAATAAATACACAATTGACTATTAGGCATCCTTTGTAAATATATTTTTTTAAGGGTGTTTCCAATTACAAAAACATTCAGTTATGTTGTCCATAATTAATACCAAAGGATGGCTAGAGGTGTTTATTAAAGGGGATCTAGTGCTGAGTAGATCCAATCATGTAAGACTATAAAATAATTGATCTAATTTAGTAGGGTGAATATTGTGATCTAGATGTTAACTTGTGTTTAGTAGTGATTTAGTGGAATTTTAATAAACATACAAAATTAGATATATGTGGTAGGCTGCTAAATAAAGATTAGAACAATTAATATGATCAAGATGATTTAATTAACATTGTATAATTGATTATAGTGCTGAATAGATCAAGGCAAGGCGAGAATGCAAAGATAGTTGCACAAAAAACCATGCTAAACAAAATAGATAAATGTGGTAGACTGCAAAATGCAGAGTTAAATAATAAAAATAATAAAAATAATTAGTATAATTAAAAAATTCTAACCAATTGTAGTGTCGAATAAATCACCATCAAAGATCTCGTTATTTTCAATTCTCTTATCACCATCAAATACATCAAAGATTTTTGTTAGACAAGCTAAGATCTCGTTATTTTGTTTTTCTCTGATGTAGTGTCTCTCTTCTATTTGGGCCCTTAAGTGAGTCAGTTATGGACTACTTAATAGGCTCTCCCTTTCTTTCTTCAAAATAAGAGGATCTGGCTCACTATAGATGTTAATTGAGATAGATAAAGTTTTTTCCAGAATCTACTTTAAAGGGATTTTTTAGGTGGCTCTAGTGAGAGGGGAGGATGAAGACCTGATCAAGAAGCTTAAGAAGAAGATCAAGATCTTAGTTTGATAATTTTTATACTAGTTTGTCCCTCACTTGGCTACTTCTAGTCTCAAAGGATCCTCCATATTGAAGTTCACTTTTTCCTTGTAAAAATATATATTGATTTAATGAGATTAGTATCTTAATCACACCAATTCAATTTCTTCATATACTACTCTTTTTACAAGCACAACTAGATTTCTATAATATGTACTTTAGCCTAAACCTCTCTCCACTAACCACTCAACACTCAAGTATCTTAGGGCCTCGTGGAGAGTGTTAGCATTTGAAACAAATGTTGTTTTGAATCACCAACATCAAATATAAGACTGATGTAGATTTATATTCTCCTTTGAGTTCACAATGGTTGAACCTTGATTCATGGAGAAGGATATTCTTTGGAGAGTAGATAGACGTTGGAGAGTAATCTAATAGTTATTAGAATTTTTATTCTTCACAAGCTTTTTCTCTTTTATTTTTTAACATTCTCCTATTATTTTATGTCTTGAAAATTGGTCACGTAGATTGAAAAACATTCCTATTGCCCAGAATGTGCACCAATGTACTTTGCTTGTTTCTTACTTTGAAGCTTTCTAATTTTACATCCATTGTATTTGAAACTTGATTTGGAAGTTGATATCTTATAATGAACATCTTCACTGTTGAGGTCAAGTTCAAATAAGCTTGTTTAGTCTATTGTTATCTCCATGTAATCAGCCAACATGTCATTGTCCATAATGTGTGATAGCAGCTCATTTCTTTTGTAATTTTTTAAATATCTTCTCTCATAAGCTTCCGATGTGCTACTGTACAAATTATGACTTCAAGTTTTACTAGAGACTTTGATACTTTTATTTTTTACGTATTTCTTCACTAAGGTTTCCAATTTACTACTATTTAGGTTATAAGTTTGATACTTGTTGGTGCCTTTTATATTTTGTATTTTTAAAATATTTTTTGCTATGGCTTTTGACTTATTGTCATTTAGGTTTTGAGTTTGAATCTTGCACTTGACTTAATATTCTATGATTTTCAGTTTTTTTTCTCACTAAGGATTATGACTCATCATTTAGGTTATAAGTTCAAATCTTGCTAATGACTCTAATATTTAGATATTTTCTGGGTATTTCATCATGTCAGTTGGCATTAGTTCCCTTATACTTATATACAAACTCTAGGATGTTGTATTAGTTCCAACAAATAAATATCTCAAGAAATGACTCATTGAATTCATTTGTTAGCCATAGGATCACACAAGCAACATCAATATATATGTTGCATAATTCGAGGAAGTGTTAATCTTCTTACACAAGCTCTCATGAACTTTGTTGAATATTCTGTAAATATTACATAAATAAAATTTTACTTGTAGTATCAAAATGAAGGGCATGAATGCACTATTCTACATTCATAGATTTTAAAATACCCAAGAGTTCATAGGTAGTTACTAATAGTAATAACTTATACTTCTGTGGACTGAATAATATGAAAGAGAAATAAATTAAACATTACAATAGTTGGTTCTAAAACTTAGTTTACCATAATTTTTTAGCCTATAGTTAGAAGTGTTTTTCAAACCTTCACTAGCTTGAATTATTGTTGATGAAGATTCAACTTAGACATACTAGTGTGTCATTGGTGAGTTTTTTTTTCTTATTCAATATGACCTACTAAATAAGAATTTTCATATACTTTTTGTTACTAAATGTCATATATTTATGTATTTCACTAGTCTGTCAAATAATGATTAGTTTTAGTATTTTGATGTAGGTAAATAATCATAAAATATAAAAAATGTCATAAATATTTTATTTAATAATCATTGAATGAAGATTTAGATTATTACATCTAGCTCACTATTGTTTTGATTATGCTTTTAGGCACAAAGCAATCATAAATATAAGAAAGTTGGAACCAAAATGAAGGAAAAATATCTTAGAAATTAATATGGACAAGTCATTAGTGGGTCAACTCATTGGTTGACCTAGTGATCAACTTGGTGAATTGACACAATTATCGATTTGTCAAACTAAAGAGAAAAAGTTGAGTGTAAAGATATTAAATTTGTTGACCCATAGGTTGACCCAACTATGTTAAATCAAATATCTGGAGAGAGAAACGAATATTCTATTTCAAATATCTAACACATAAGTCATTATAGGATCACTTAAAATGTGCTAGAATATTTTTGACCAACTTTGACATATCTTTGGATATGCTAAAGGATTAAAAAACCTTAAAAATTGCCACCTAATATATCTATATATCAACCCAGTCAAAAGTCAGTCCAACAAATAGTGACTACATAAATATTCTCCAAGACAACATGGAGGAAGACAAAAACTATTAGAGCTATCACATTTTAATGATTTGAATAATGATTAAAAATTCTATCTCAAAATTTTTAAAAACACACCTCAATGACATCAATTTGTTCTATTAATGCTGAAATTTCTCATCCTCTCTTTTGTTATAAATGTAACTTGCCAAAACTTTTAGAAGCATTCAAACATCTAAAAAATCAAGGAAGACCATTTTCCCAACTTTAAAATTGGTTTATTAGTATACTTGCGTTATTTTTATATGTGAATTAACTATAGGAAGTACTAACAAGTGCAATGAGACAAGTTAGTGCCTAGGTGTATAATATGGACACATATACCTATAAAATCTATAAGGGAAATTTCTGATCTTACATATTTCAGTTGTAATTCTTTAAGAACTTGTGTAGTGTAACCAAGGATCAGATCCCTTGGTAAGTACCTATAGGTTAAGGAAGGCCAAATCACTATAAAATTATTTGCCAATCTCTAATTATTGTTCACTATATTAACTTAGTTTGTTGACCCAACCCAACTTGTGTCTACTTATATATCTACTAACTTAACACAAAATAAGGAAAATTATCTAAAACCTACAAAAAGTAAACAAATATTTAAAGAGCTAGTAGACTTTACTTCTCCTCAAAGTAGCCTCTCACATGTTGAAATATGAGGCAACATCTCGTACAATGTTATGGATTAATGACTATAGAAATGTTCCAAGTGCTTATAAGGACTCACTACTAGTGATTATTTCCTATTAGTATGAACCCAAAACAATTACACAAATCAAAACTCAAGCTTAAAACATTATGCTGAAAGCTTTCTTCCAACATTAAAGCTCAGCCTTTAAGATCAAAAGAATCAAATCAATTGGAAACTCACCCTGGAGTTAGCCTTGATCAATCAAAACTCTGAATCAAAGTTTTAAAAATTGTGTAGGTGCTTTAGAAGAGTAGGAGATATCTCAAAATTCATGTAATGTCTCATATATTGTTTCATGATTTTTATATTCTTATAGAAATATTTTCTCAAAAGCAATAGTCAAAATTATTGAGTCCTTGGAAGGGGAGTGCATTTATCTTTCATAAATTTTCTTGTTTCATGTCTTCAAATTATTTGTTTAATCTTTAAAGTTCAAGAAAAGAGATAAAGACATTTTTTTCTATTGGTTTGGTCATTCCTTAGCCTACGTCAACTTCCTAAATCATAATTTTGGTTCCACTATTGTGAAATCATCTATATTCACTATAGTCTAGTGCATATAGTTGATTCACAAAATCAACACCTCTTACAACCTAGATACCTCATTTCTATATCACCTACTAGATTTCTTAGTCTTACAACTTATTACAACACATAATTTGAGAATCTCAAATAACTTTGATACCATTGAATCTACAAGTTTATCTATCCACTAGACTTAAGACAAGCCAATATTCAAACATATGATAAGTACTCTAAGACTTCAAGTTTCTATTGAAGCATGAGAATAATGAATATTGAACCAAATGCACCTTACCTTGTAGAATAAAAGAGGTTTCTGTGAAGGAGGGCATGGTGAAGGTATTCAATGTGCCAAATAGTTGTAGATTGTCAAAAGTTGAAGAATCTTAATGGTGTGAGTTGCAATAATGTCTTAAGCTGGATAGAATTTACTTGGAGATATTTTTAATAGGAGGATTAATAAGTCTTCATTATCATGAGTTAATCATTAGTAAATAATAGATTTTTAGCCTTAACTCATGATAAATCCACTTATATTTATGTTAAAGTGTGAAAAGTAGTTTTTAATTGACTAACGTGAATTTTTGGATAATTATGTGATTTTATATATATTTTATAATTTTTATAATCTTACTTATGAGATAAATAAAGAAAAATAAATAAAAATAAAAATAAAACAAAATGGGGGGGACTCACCAGCCAGCTGGGCCTACAAGTGGGTTGGAAGCACAATCGGGGAATAGCCGTGAGTAGAGGCTCGAGCAGCTTGGACCGATGGAGCACGTGTGCACCACTCCCCTTCCACGTCACTAGTGGCCAATTACCTGTGAGGCAAGGAGTGGTCGTACACATGTGAGAAATGGACTTGATAAAAAATGTAATATTATTATATATTTGTTAGAAACTTTAGCGCACAATTGATGTAAGATTAAACCCCCGTCATACTTTCCCTAGAAAGGAGTGGGCAATTAGCATGGGTTCGAATCCTTTTAAAGCCAAAACTCTCATTTTTTTTTATCTAATTATCGTGACTTTCCTACAAATTGCTAGTGAAGGATTAAGCAACCAGAATCACTGGATCATCGATGAAAATCTCATCAACAAAATTCACAGAGCATTATTACTAAAATTGTTGAATGATTCACAATAAAAAGATCGCAAATCCATCGAGTAAAGCATCTCTAATTGATTGACAAATAAACTATCACCAAGAAGAGGACAATCCACTGAGAGACAAGTCGCCATTTTTTGAGAGCATACCGGATGCGATGAAGAGTCTCCTCCTATTGTGTGGACCTGAGGATGAAGCTCCCTGACATGCGCCTCACCTTCATCAAACTTCTCTCTGTTAGGTGACAATAGTCAGAGAGCCGCAAAGTCACCATTTTTTCGTTCGACCGGGTGACAACTGTCGAAGATGATTTGATGACCTATTTTATTGATCTCTAGACTTCGCAAGGAGATCTAAAAATTGCCTATATTGTCTTTGTCTAAAGAGAGCCTTTGAAGCCGTGGACACTACACGATGATCATCTTGAACGTTTAGGATTCTGATACATCACCAACGCATCGCCACCTCGACATCAAAATTGTGTTTTCTTACTTTCAACTTAATTTTCATTTCATTTGGTGATAATTTGTTGATTTTAAATTTACCAAGATATACTTCATTCTATTATGATTCTTCTGGCTTTTACAGATCTTAATTTGATCAATTAAATCATTTGTAATTACTTACATAAGAATTGCCACACAGAACTCTATTTCTACCCAATTTGTGTTTGCCAGTCATTGACATCATCTTTGACGTCCCCACCTTTATTTCCCTCTTTCATGAATTTTAAATATATTTTCTTTTTATTTTCTAGTATAAAATTTATAGAAAATAGTGTTCTTTAAAACAAATTCTAAATAATTATTAGATATTATATCACATCCTTGTGATTGACCTAGAAAATTACTGCTATTTTTGAAATTTTTATTAAATTATAATTGATATATTTGTTCATAAATACTTCTAAATATTTAAAAAATTATATTTTCTAGTTTATAAATTTTAAATTTGTGTGATTTACTATACAATGACTAAGTGACGTCAAGGATAGATTGATCTTAAGGCTCTCTCTTTTTTATTATAAATAGTTCCTTTTAATTTTTGTCTTCTTGTCCTAATTTGAGCAAGAACATTTTTTTATTCTTAACTTATGAGGCCAAATTAGGGGCTCAATTGCTAGTTGAGTGAACCTTAATTGGCTACTCGTAGAAATAAATAAAAAATGTCCTAAACATTGTAAATTTCATAACTATTTACATAGTTTGAAAATTGAACCATGATTTGTCGTATTTTATTCCTCTATTAGAAAGTTTTAAATGCTGGCACATATTTGTGTGACATAATTTTTCAGCTAAAATAATTTTTAATCAATTGGGGATATAAATATGATGATTCTACCCTCAAGTAGAATTATGAATTAATTGTTTTTATAAAGATGATTAAAAATTGAAATTTTCGAATTTTGATATTATATTGTTCAAGGTGTTTGTCTTTCAGCTATCATTCCAATGATTGGTCAACCTATGTGTGAGACAAGATTCTCATTGTAAGGTTTACCCTTAGATATAATGATGATCAAGTCCTACGAACTTCATTTGGATCTAAACATGATGATTTACACATTTTTCATATAATAAAATTATCATTCATTAACCTTTGATTAATCTTTCACATCATCAAATAATTAAACTACTTCAGAAACCAACAAGTAATAGTCATTTAGATAATTCTAGGGACTATTGCTTGAGTCTTAGCTATAATAATATGTTAGATAGATGAGTTGACTTTACTTTAGTGGTTAGTGAACAATATTTATAACATTTTCAAGTGAAAGCAAAATTATGAAAATAATAGAAGATGATATTTTTTACCTTTAGTGCATTTTGTTAAATTGAAAATATGAGGCTCTGAAACTCAACATTTACTTGTTAGATTAGCATTGTAACCATTGTGCCCTTCTTATTTCTTTTTTCAAAATTAAGTTGGGCTTAAGATGCCTTAGCTTCTCTTCTTAAGTCAAAGTTTCTTACATTCAAGATATGTTGATTTATCTAATTTACTTCAGATTCAAGATGTTCTATGTGCTATGCTTGTGGGTCGTCAAAAAGATTCTGATTTCAAAACCTTTTTAGAGAAGCGTGGATACCTACTTCCTCTAATGTTTCAATGGCCTCTTCTTTCGATTAGATATGAATTATCCCTATTTAGTGGAATAAAAATTTCTAATTTCATATGGATTGAACATGATCTTGCTATGGTGATAGGGTAAAACTAGCACACTATCATTAGATAGAATGTATCTCTTATTTTCAAAAAACAATTATTTCCCTCATGTCATAATCTAGCATTAGCTCTTCAACAACTTTGGTTATAGTCATTATTATTCGGTGAACTTTTGTGATATTTTTTCCACTTTCCACTTCTTAGTTATTTGAACTAATTGGCTTGCCTCTTCATGACAATAAGCTAGTACCATATATTGCAACAATTATGCATTGTTTTTGTCATTTTCTTTGTAAAAAGTTATCACTTTTACTTACCAACTTAATAAAGATCTTAGAACTTTCCAAACAAATGTTGAATTTCAAGTACATCTTATCAAAGCTGTTGAACTCATTTAGAATGTAAGTCTAGTAGGAATGTAATTTATTGGCTTGTTTGGAGTCATTAAGAATAGTTCATTTATATCAATTTTTCAACCATGGGTTTCTTAGCCAATGAAGTTGTTTTGTTAATGTGTGGAGCATCATAATTTAAATTATGTTACATAAAAGTATATTAGTGAAGACTATTAATTCAAAGGTGGCATGCAATAGCATTAAAGAGATAGGCGAATTAGTGTTTTCATGAGGCCAAGATAACGTCACATTTATGTTTGATTGTGATTGGCCAACGTACTGACTCCTTGGTTTCACCTATTTTTGTAGGTAGCAATAAAACTAATATTTATAGTCATTCAATTCCCCTGCCTACCTCACTTTCCAAAAGAACTTTCTCTTAGGTTCTACAGACTCTTTCCTAGGTTGAAAACACTAAATATTCAAACATCAATTTGCATCTTAAGACAAGATACTTTCTATGAGCTTAGCTTAGTAATCTAGATTTGAGGCTTTAGGAAAGTCCAATGGCACCCACAACTACTTTTCTGTGATAAGCATCAATCACTAAGATCTCTACAAGTAAGAGTAAGAATAAAAAGGTCTTGTAAATCAATTGATCTAGGGTTCTAGTACTAGCCCTTGGAAATCTTCCATTGTTCACAGAAGTTGCTACTAAATAGTTAATGTTTCACCTGTTCAGCATAATTTTAGCATATGATAAGCTTTTTAAGTGATATTTATATTGAAAATATTTAAAACTTATTAATTTCTTGGTCATCAAATTTATCAACGTCAAAATATTATTTCCAAATAGTTCACTACTAAAGAGGATTTATTCTCTATAGTAGTGATCAGTTATTCTGGCTATATCTTCAGTGTTGCCACATCTTGTGATCTATAAGTGTGAGTACCTCTTTCCACCTTTATTTAATAAAATACAAATGTTCTCACTTGGATGGTCTGTCATCCAGACTGCCATACAATGGCGTATGATCGGAACCAGCCTGCCTCCCACAAAGATGGGTTTGACCCCGTACACGCTCCATCAACAAGCGGGCCCAAAGTAGGTATATTTGCTCACTTGAAAAACGTAGGGACTTGTTCCTAGACCATAAGCTTTCCAGAAACTAAAGGAAGGTGAGTTCGTAGGGTGGTGGAAGGGGGAACAGCAGCAGGACATGGCGATTGATGTTCTGGAATACGAAAACCTAATTGATCTGAAATATACAGAATGAAGATCATGGACAAAGAATTACAAATCATCAAAAGACTATACCACAAGATCCACATGCAACAAGAGCCCTATACCGCATGGACAAGAATATCCTAATTTTTTTTCTTCCCCCAGAAAAGAAAAAGAATCCCTTTTAATAGGAGAACTCGTGGCCCCGGATCGATATGTACTTCTTGATCCATATGGCAATGTCCTCAACACAGGCCTGGGCCAGCGGCGTCTTGAGGAGCATGTCAAGGGTGGCGAATTCGTGGACAGCATCCTTGTAGTCGAGGACGGGGGCGTCAACGTTCACCTTGCGGAGCTCCTCAGAGTAGGCAATGGCCCGGTCCCTCATCCAGTCGTGCTCGGCAACGACTGTGAGCGTGGGCGGCATGCGCTTCAGAGGAGGGCCCCTGCCGGGGACAAGCGGGTTGGCGGCCGGGTGGTCCAGGCTAAACTCCTCTTTGGGGAGGAAGAGCTTCCAGGCAAGCGTGCACATGGACTTGTCAAAGAAGTAGGAGTTGGCGAGCTTGATCTCCGAGTGGGTGGAGACACTCCCGATGAAGAAAGGGTACATCAGGACCTGTGCGACCACCTTCACTGGGGCGAGCAGCTGACCCGCTTCAACAGCCTTCCGTGCCACAAAATCTGCGATGTTGCCCCCAGAGCTCACCCCCAAGAGAACACACCTGCTTTCAAATCCCGCTTTTAGTCCCAAGCCAAAAAGAGATGTGCAAAATCATGGAACTCAATGTTTGGCAAATAAGTACTTGAGGAATAGTGACGAAAAATTAACACCTGCGATCAATGAACTATTTAAAAAAGGAACCACGAAGATCCTAATTTTCGTGTAAAATAAAAAATTATGTATGTTTCAGAGTTATTGATGCACAATGAGACTGAAACATCCCCACAGAGAGAAGGAAAAACATTTGCTTTCATACAAAGTAAGGGAAATATTTAACAATCCATTTTTCACACCTGAGATCAGTCTTTGCATACATGTTGTATTAAAATGTTATTGGTGAAAATTAAGCCTTTGATAGGCAATATACACAAAATATGCGCCAGGAAAGAAAAAGAAACTGAATAATCTCGCACCAACTAATGTAAGCACATCATGAATCAAGTTCAGATCGGATCTGTCATTAAGAAGCTACAAAATAGGGCCGGTCAGGTTCGGATTTTTCTTTGGTTATATCAGCAATCTCACTCGACTAAGGTAATCATCAAAATTTGTCAAGACCATTCTCCCCGTCATTAAAGCAATTGCTGATATTTACTATTTTTAATGGCCACGGGCATCTGGATGCCAGCATTCGACAAGGGAGTGTGGCCACTACACGAGGCAGATGGGGAAGAGGTCAATATCCAAATAAATCTATCTCCTGGAGAAGAAATATATCCCGACTTGAAATTAGTCGAGCCTGGATCCCAAAGTGCTCCAAATCTTGGCAATTGCGGAGAAAAATCCAATTTCAAAACCTCAACCAACACTTCAATTGAAGAAACACAATCGTTTACCAACATACATACAAACTTTTTTATGGGGAAACTGCCCACTGTGAATTCAAAGAGGATCTGGGGCAGTAATTTGGCGTCCCGCTGAGAATAAATCCCTTTCAAGTATTTTAACCGTAAAAGTTTTACAAACCTGTTCTTTTTAGTGAGCATACTTTCAAAAAAACATTCAAAGCACCAAGGTGGTCCTAAGCCAAGACTCTGTTCAAGTCCATATGAAGCTTAACTGCATTTAAAAGCGTGGGCCAAGAATTGAAAAGAAATCATCCCTCATAACTGTGGCCAATATCACGTGTGCATGATTGAAGAAAAGTCGTTAAAAACAAGTGCAGTATTTGGTGAAGGATCACTCACCGCTGCTCATGCATGGGTACCCAGATACTTTGTTAAAGGTAGAAGCTCGGAAAGCTACTTGAATAATAAGCAACTTCCTGTCTAGACTGCTTAATTTGTCTCGTCCCCTTGTTCTTCCAAGTTTTAAAGCCAAGGGCATAGTTTAGCCCACCACAGAAACTCTCAGATTTGATACCAATAGGTGCCTCTATCCTACTGTAGCTCTAACTCTTCACAAATCCGCAAGCCCACACAATTTTATGACCATTAGAAACTACAACACCCAAGTCTGCAGTTGCAGCACACAAAATGGCAGTCAAGAAACAGACTGTTAACTGTCAAAGTGACGAAATGATAAACAGAGGAAGAGGCAGAGAAAGACAAAATCCTATGAATCTGGAGAAACAGGCCAAGAGATCTCGCAACAAGAAGCTACCGAACTGGCAAAAGTTTATATGCAGAAGATGGTATTTGAATGGAAAAAGATAAGGCCCATCCGTTTCCAATTGAGATAGAAAAGGAAAATATCATAACGTTGCATCACCTTAGCTATTTTGGGAGAAAAAATAAAATAAAATCTAGCACCAGTAATTTCTACACATTTAACATGTTCAAAGCCTCACCCACAGGAATACAAGTTATGACGATAAAGCACAAACAATACAAAAGATATATCAGTTAGTAACCAATCACGTCAAAAATACATAAACTACTCTGTTTGCCAGTACTCAGTGTGAATTTACACCCGCACCTCCCAATAATAAAGGAGCTACACTGATTTATTATTTATTTTCCGTAAGCCAAGTTCACGTGCTGGTATAATATTCCAGTTTTGCATCTCAAGATTAAAATTATGTATTGCTTCTAATAACTGATGTTTTGATGTTAGTTTTTTACTTGACGTTCTAAAAAACTCAAATCCAATCGAACAAGAGCACAAAAGAAGAAAGGAAAAGGCAAATCAGAGAAATAGGTTGAAATGCAACGAAATATACTTCCACATAACCTCATGTCCAAGTCATTCAGAAGATCCAACCAAACACGAAAAAGAGAGGAAGAAAATGAAAAGTAATGGATAAATGAAAAACCTTGACGGGTCTCCATGAGAAGCAAGCCACGGTTCCACCATCGACGCCCCAAAAGCATCAACGACATGCCTGTTCAAGTCCAATTTCCTTGTCTCTGTACCTCCCCCCCCGCTGCCTCTCACATTTCCCATTGACTTACTGCATTCTGCCAGGTTCGCCTGCTTCGCAACCCAGTTAAGTACCTTGAAGCCGTCGTCAAACGCAGCTGGGTACTTGCTTTCCGGCGCCAACCTGTACCCTACAGCTATCACGATCATATCGCAGAGCTTTGCGATCCGTCTACAGAAGAAATCATTAGCAACCGAATCATTGCTCCCGGAGACGAATGCTCCCCCATGAAACTGTAGCATCACGGGCAACCTCCGCCCCGCCCTGTGGTTCGCTGTGGCGCCATTTGCATGCTCATCCATGGATGGCAAGTAACCCCGGTAGGTTCCATCTAGCTGCAAACCAGAGCCATCATAGCTTCTCCGGCGTAGTTCAGGGGAACTGCTAGTCGGGACGACGCCGTTGCCACCGTAGCTGCTTCGGCGAGGAACGTTGTTGAATCTGGAACGGCGAGGGCCTTCGGCGATACCGTTGTCCTCCGGATCAGAGGCCGATCTAACTCCCCGTGGAGGCCGCGGAGGCGGATGGCGATGATGATGGTCGGAATCACCGATCGCACCTGCGGCGGCGGAGGGATTCGATAGGAGGACGGATTCGGGAAGGAAGATGCGGATAGAGAGGGACGTAAGAGGGTCGATGTGGATATCCTTTGTCGCCACGCCGTCCAGTGATGAGAAGGTGGGATTCGCCGCGGCCACCGCCTCCTCGGGACGGCAGGAGACCCCGAAGGAATTAGATCCCCCAGCGGCTGCGGCGTCTGGACTCTGGATCCAAGTCTGCAGCCGGCGCTTCAGAAGGAGCTTGAAGAAGACGCTGTAGAGCTTCACCGCCACCGTCGGCATCGCCTATTTCTCTCAGACTCGCCACAGCCGGCGGTAGACGACCAGACGACGCGGCGGAATCCGAAGGCCAGGAGGCATATAGAAGAGGCGGACAAAGACGAGGCGAGGGAGGGGAGAGACGGGAAGGGAAGGTGCCAGTTCAATCTTCTTCGCTGTGCAAAGCGAGGCTAGAATGGTTCAATAGATGCCGTCGGTGGAGAGGAGAGAGATTGACAAGGATGGGGGTGAACTTGAAGGTTCCGGGAGTGGTTTTATCGTGGCGGTAAGAGGGGCGGTGAGGTGACGTGGCTAATCTCTCTCTCTCTCTCTCTGTCCCTCTCTCGGGCACTGGGCCGGCTTGGTAGACTGGCCCTCTCCCTCGTTACGAGGACTAGACCCGCAGTCCCAATTGACGTCACATTTTTGGCTTAAAAGGACCAGAATGTTCTTCAGGCTTCGACGTTGACTTTGAATTCTGACATGAACCCAGAAACCGTCAAAACCCGCCATTCCTTATTTCGTCCTATGAGCGCGCCCTAAGCATTGACCTTTGGCCGAGGGACGCGTCATGAAGAAAACCACCACAGAGGGGAAAACCGCAAGGCCCAAGGCGCAGAAGCTTCCAACTTCTTACAGTCGATGTCTGGCGTTGTTCAATGAATTGGAAACCCTGATGTCAGGCAACCATCTAGTCCGAAAATCATATTGGGTTTCTAACCATGGCGTTGTTCAATGAAGGTGGTTTATCTATCAAGGGAGCAGCTAGTATTGAATGTGTAAGGTAGGCTAGGCCATTCAAGACGACGTGACCAATAGGGCATTCAATAAGTGCATATAAATTAATATGTTTTCCCTAATTTGGAGAAAATAGTTTTAATCTAAGGAGAATATATGAAGGGTTATCCCCCATTGAACACATTTTTTTTTGGAGAGGCTAATTGACTTTTTCCAAAGTAGATTGTCCAGTGATTTACTCATGATTTATTGTTGTGGCTAACTCTCATGGTTAGAATGAGTTAATGAATTGAACTCTTAAAATTTGTTTAAATGTCATTTGCAAGCAAACAATGCTCTCTCTCTCTCTCTCTCTCTCTCTCTCCAATTGCTGCATCCTCTCTTGTACTACTCTTCTTTCTTTCTTTGCCACATCTACTAATTAATAGAGAATAATTTCTCTTCCATATTGCATGACACTCTATCCAGCATATTCATTTTTCTCTTTGTGAGGAAACATCCAAAAATAGTAAAATCAAAAGATAGACAAGAATCTCAAATCCACAAGGCAGTAAACAAGTGAGAATGAACTGAGGAGAGGTACCCCCTTCCTTTGATCTTTCCTCTTAAAATCTGATTGGTAATTTTTGGAGTCAATAGAAAACAATAAAAAATTAACTCTTATTTGTAAAATACAAGGAATCCTAGAAAGAAGAAGAGTTTAATAACCCTATTAAAGTAAGGGTGGACTTCTTAAAAAAATCACACATCTATTGGGAGCTGACTTTTTGTCTTTGATATGATTTTTTTTTATAGCTAGGTTATTTCTTAAATTGAAATAACCTATTTAGATTAATTAGTGTTGGAAGTGGTTACTTCTTAAATTTAAATCCCTTTTTAAAGATAAAATAGGTTTTAAAAACTTCTTTAAGTGATAGAAATTCATGTCTTTTCTCTCTTTATGTCAGATTCTTATATAATTCCATCAATGTGATCATAAAAGGAACAAGAAGGGGGGAGTGAATCAGTCCTCTTGAAATGATAGGATAAAATAAGGATAGCTTCAAGGTAGTTGATGAGCAACTGTACAACCCTAGAGAGTATATTCATAAAGGATGGTTGAGATGATCAATGAGAGATGCATAATTTATAGTGGTTTAGCTCTATTAGCCTACTCCACTCTTTGAAAGTATTCATAAATAACATAGGATTTTATTCATAATCATCAGCTACAGGATTCATGGCTTTAGTAACTCAAATTTCTTTACATGTCTATATTCATGGCTCTAGTGAACTAAACACTAGAAATCTATTATTACCTCGCCATTTATAGATTTATGATTCTAGAAACATCTAAGTGAAAACTAGCACAACTCCATGATGATTATGATTCAAATGATTTAAAGGTGAAAAAATTCAACTCAATATTTGTAGATTTCAAAACTACCTCAATGGTCTATTGACCAAGAAATGAAAGAATTGACTTGCTATTAATAAAGATTCAACTTGAAGTCAATATCTTGATCCTTATTTACTTCATAGATCTTTCTTCTCTTGTACTTTTAATTTCTCATAGTTTTCATAAGGTTCAGCCTATTTCATTAAGTTGCATTACGTGTCATGCCAACATTAACTCACATATAACAAATAAAGAACTTTCATTTCGTTACATATACCATAGTTGTGATGACTTAGAGTTCTATGACCTTTGACAATGACCATCACACAAGAAGGGTATCTAAGACATTTCCATTTGTATTAAGATTGATGAGATGGAAATCTAGTGTCTACATTTAATTGTTATCTACTAAACCGTGTGAAATGCTCCTACATTTTATATGGATCTATTTCAGATTAGTCCAAGAGTAGTAAATCTATCAACGGGAATGATTCTAAGGAATATGTTAAATGCGTTTTTGAATCGTATCTGAATGAAGCTGGATTGGATCTTGAAATGGGCCTTTAACCTCAGATCCTTAAAGATTGTGTAAATGGATCTATCCATCCGATTTCCCACTTTGGATCCGAAACAAACAAAAACGGGCCTGGGCCTGTTCTATTATATATGGTCCATCTCTGGCCCATTTAGACAAAAAAGGGGGGATAATGAGGGGCCATTGCCCCAAAACCCTCTCACGATTTCTCTCTCTAACAACCGACGGCAAAGAAGAAGAAGAAGAAGACCAAAGCTACTTTATCGATCTATTCTTCCAGCATTATTCATCCTCAGATGGAACCTACAAAGGAAGAGAATCCCGCGAGAATCCGTCCATGATTATCCACCAAGCATCCCTCGATCTACCTCGTGAAGAAAGGAAAAGGAAAAGGCAAAGGAAAAGAAAAAGAGATGAGGAGAATGTGGGAACGTGATTGTGTTTGTGCCTGCTGATCGCGAAGAGGAGAGAAATCAACAGGCGATCAGCCACGCCACATCTTCTTGTGGAGATTCATCTTTGATACGCCTTATTTTCTAATCTGTCTTTATTGAGCAACAGTCGATTGCAGAAAAAGGGGAAACAAGGAGGAGCATGAGGAAGAGAAAACTGATCGAACAAGTTTACAGTGCTCGTCTCTTCTCCACGCTTCTGTATCAACAAATTTCTCACCCTAGCCCTCTAATATCGCTTGCGACAAAGAAAAAGGGAGATCTCCTGATCCATTTAACGTGCTGTCATTCACATCAACCCTGCATCCAATTGATCAAAGTATTCCTTCATCTTTTGATTGTGTGCCTTCAAAGAAATCATCCTCATCGATTACATTCGGTCTATATTATTCATATTAAACTATTGAGAGGTTGGGTCACCTTAGAATCTTGATGTGGGAACTTCTCCGTTAGTTTAGGCTATCTAGAGCCAGGAATCTAAGGGGAGATTTTTGAAAAATCCTAAGTTGACTGGAGATGTAAAATATAGTGTGTTGTTGGGACTAGACGTCAGCCTGTAAGCATGAAGGATTTAATGGAACCAAAGGACACAGTTGTTGGAGAGTGGAGGCCTTGTCTTCTTATATTCAAAACACATCGCTTCATATATGACTAGGTCGAGTTTAGAAGATAGAAATTTAGAAAATTTATTATCAAGGATTTTTGGTTTTTTTGGTTGAGGAATCACCTGATTTTTGCTTATCAACATTTTCATCCTCACTTCTGCTAGAAGTACTAGAATAGTCTTCCCCTTTAACATCAAGAAACTTCCTTGGTAATCTTTAAGATAATTTAGGACATGTACTTGTTCCAATCTCATATGTAAGTAAAAATCCTACACTTTCATATCATGACACATTGTGCACATCTTTTACTTCTTCAGTTGTTACAAATTTGGTTCTCCTAATTTTGGTTTTTTAACAATAGGTGGAATTTAAAAATGTAGCAATTCAATCCACTTGGCTACTTGTTGAGAATCAGATCCTTATGTTCCATTAACTTAGTTAGTACATAGGCTGAACAATAATATTTTTGTTAGTCTCACACTAGAATTTATGCATCTGACCATTGGTGGTTTTCCAAAATGCTTCTTATAGATTTACAATCCTAAGAGCCACCCAAAGTAACATCCAGCTAACCTGTTCTTAATTCACAACTCTAGATCAACCAAAGTGTTATTACTCAAATATAAGAAAAGAACAAATAAATACTCTCCCAAATTCAACACACAGCTTTGAGTTGTATGAATTCTTTGACTTGAGGGTGAGGAAGCATACTTTCTAGTGGAGCCACTTATTACTTCAGAGACAACATGCAATAGAGTTTTTGGGATATTTTTCCCACTTGTCATGTGTTTAAGGGAGGGGGGGTGTAAATCTGTATAGAGATGGTTTTTCTTTGATTTTTTTCATTTTAATGGTAAAAAGTGATTACTCCAATAACTTTAGCACACTTTAATATCTAGTTTTGGGGTCTTATAATAAATTATCTTATTGTTATTTTGACTTGAGTTAATGTGTCCCTTGATATGAATTGAATCTAAGCCAGCTCAATTCATATGATGAAAAACAATAATTAAAAAAAAATAGAGGAAAAAACAGCTCAAAAGTTATGAGAAGTTTTTGCAAGATAGAGTGACATTAAGGGTTAGAAGGATAATTGAACTTTTTTGTAAAATGAAACTACTATTTTACTCTTATATAAACTTTCTTCAATTTAAGTTAGTTATTATTAGATCAAGCAACTCATTTTTTCAATTGATATTTGGATTGAATCTTTTAATCCTAGTGTTGTTATAAAGATTTTTTAATTGACTAGTAATCATAAAATAAAAAATTATAAACATGTTATTTCTATACAAATGCATGGACAAAGATCAAACTTATTAGTTCTAGTCTAATTTTTGCTATAATACATTTTTCAGCTATTATACAAAGAAAATATTTATCATCAAAGACATACATGAAAAGAAAAACAGAAAAAGAAAAAAAGAAAAAGATTATAGAAAGAAGAACTAAGGAGAGAAAATGTGTCTTTATTCAATAATTAAGGAGATAGAAAAAATGTGTTGACCAATCTAAAACTAAAGAAAGAGAAAGTGTGTCAACTCAAAAAAGGCAAACTAAATCTCAAGACAGAAAAGAAGATTTTCTCAAGAAAATCTAACATGTCATAATATTTTATATGTGCTAGAACACCTCTAACAATTGCAATGTATCTTCACATGTTGAAAGATCAACAAAAAGACATCCTAACATATGCAACATAACTTGGTCAAAGTGGTCAAATTATAAATCTAACCTCATAGACTATTTGATAGGTAGGCTCAAGTGTTGAATCTGAACAATATTTGACCAATCAAATTTTAGAGATTTATACTTTGCTTGTTAAGTTTTTAGGTTCTATAAATAGTAAATTGCAAGAGTTTTCAACTAGAACATAAATGATAAATCAAATGTTACCACTTATTTCAAAATCTACAATTGAAGATTGATTGCAAGACTAACTTTGCCACAAGCTTCCTCAAGCATCCAAACATTCTCAAAATCAATGAAGTTCATCTCTTGAGCATCAAAATCAGTTTACAATTTGAGTATTAATATTTATATGTGAAGTCACGCTAAGAAATGCTTGTAACAAAGGAGAAAAGGTAAGCTAGCGGCTCAATGTCTTGTGCACAAATATAGACCCATGAAATATTTCATGTAAAATAATTTACTTATGTGAATTCCAGTTATGGTTCTCTAATCAATACTGTAGAAAATAAGGGGCGAAAACTCATGGGTAGGAACCCTTGATAAGTAGATGTAAACTAGGGAAGGCCAAACCACTAAATATTTAGGACTTTGTTTCATTTTCCTACTTACTATGTTGACTCAAGCTAGTATGTGTGGACCCACTTTAATTGTGTCAAGTATGTGTTGATCAACTTAATATATATTTCAAAGAAGCAACCTAAAACACGTAAAAGTGATTTTTTTAAAAAAAATAATTACTTCACCCCATTGTATTCTATCTAGCCCACCTTGGGGCCAACAATTATGTGAGTCAACAAGCTTTCTAAGTTGGTGAAGAGAAAAAAATTATTGATGAGTAGATCCACTCTTATATTTACTTGGTAAATTCTCATCCCAAATGATTCCACACACTTACTACCAGAAAGTAATCCATAAAAACTTTCAAGCCCAAATAGGGTCTGCATGTTAGGCATTTGATCATAAAATGTGAAGTTATTATTTATCCTTGCATTATGTATTTCTTGTATGTATAAAACTTGTGTAAAGTGACTAAGTCATAGAATCAATCCCCAAGTAAATTTCATGTTTTCTAAGGGATATGTTACGATAATAACTTTTAACATAATTTTAGCTAAGTTACTATACTAACCTTATAAGTATTTTATAAACATAAAAAATATAAATACCACAAAAGCAAAGAATATTAACATCATGGTATTGTGTTTCTTCACAACATACACTTCATATGCTAACATAGTATTTTTTATGTATGTAATTAACTACAATCTACTCTTGAGTTTGATATGCTTATTACACTAATTTTCTTGTATTCGAATATCAACCTTAATATAATCCACTATTTTTACATACTTCTTATATATTGACATTAAGGTTGTTACATCACATTGTTCCATGATGTAAACTTGATATATTAAAATATTAATACTAGTGTACTACATTATTTCACAACGTGAACTTGATATACTTAAATGTTATTGTATATTATGCAACTTCAACATGAAAACTTCTCATACGCTGAAATATTATCCAATATAATGCATTCTATCCCACAATGGAAACTTAGAATATATTGAAATATTGACTCTAATGTACGATGTTATCCTACAACATAAAATGACTTGTGCTTGCATGCTTTGGCCAATGTTAAACTTATTCGAGGTTCCAAAAATTAAGAGATGTTTTTTCTGGAGATTATGAATTAACTTAAATTTTCTACCATCAAAAGATTTTTTGAATTTACCATTCTTTAAAAACTTAAATTTAGAAATCACCCCTAAAGGACATCAAGCAATGCAGATGCTGCCTCTAGGCCAACTCTCATATTTAAAGCTATAGGCCTATCAGTTTTATTTCTAGAAAGGGCTTGTGTCAACTATTTATTTTTGGCATACTGGTGTCATTTCCTTCCGAATAGCAATGAAGGATGAGAAAGCGGGAGGAAAATGTCATAGGATAAACTAACACTTAATCTATATGCAGGCTGAAATATGTTCAACAAGGCCTTAAACATATCATAGGATCCATCGAACTACCAGCTTCTCTATCTCTCTCTCTCTCTCTCTCTCTCTCTCTCTCTCTCTCTCTCTCTGCAACGTGCATTCCGTTCCTCTTATCTTCTCCTGCTACGCAAGCGACTAGAAGGTGAGGGCCCCTACCTCACTCCCTCACAAAAGAGTCTCCTGTCAACCCCATCTCCAGAGAGTCCCTCAACTGTCGTTCCATAACCTCCAACCCCACTTGTTTTCCTCTTCACATGCTGCAAACCCTGAGAGGACACCCGCCCCTCCCCTCCCGTTCACTCTCAACATGCATCCATCCCCATAAATGCCCATAACCAATGATAGAGGTGAGAGAGAGAGAGAGAGAGGAGGGGGAAACGGGTGGGGGAACGTGGTGAGACTGGCGAGAAGAGTGCTTGGGGGCTATCTTGTCTGCAGAGGCTCTAGAATGGTCCACATCCGCTCTCAACGGCGTCGTTGATTCGGCAAACCAAGAGAAGACCACATGTTCCTGTCCAAGGTCGTGAGTTCACTTGATGCGAGATGGCTGGCATGAAAGTCACGTGGTCTCTTGCAAAATAATGCATCCTCTCCTCCTCTCTCTCTCTCTCTCTCTCTCTCTCTCTCTCCCTCTCTCTCTCGCTCATGCATCCAAGGCTCGTGTATAAGGAGAAGAGGCCAGGCTTGCTTTAGAAGTGGAGTTGGGAAACGGCCGGCTTCAGAGAGTTGAGGGGTGCTCTGGGTGGTGGGGGGAGATGGTGCAGAAGGGAGAAGAGTCGACCCCGAACAGGGGGGGATCGACGGCCAAGGCGAAGGAAAGGGAACCGAGGAGGGAGGTGGCGAGGCTGCAGCGCGGCAAGGCGGTGGCCGCCAAGTTCAAGAAGAGCTGCTACGGCGAGGAGAACGGTGTTACCTCCGCCATCTTCCTCCTAGCATGTGTCGTTTGCTCTCCTCCCTCCCCCCGATGAAGTCTGCTCTCTTCTCTCTCTACGACCTCTTCCCCGGTTGATCTGACCATCGTCTGTGTTTGCTGTTCATCGCATCCCTTTCTCCCTCTCTCCCTCGCTTTATATAAATATCCCTCCCTCTAAACACATGGATGTCTGAATGAATAGCTGGTGTGACGTAACTATAAGTGGCAAAGTTTAAACAAACTGAAGATGAAGAGACAAGGGATCGAACAAAAGACGTGACGACAGAAGGTGCGTAACGCCTTTGGTTACTGGGTTGCATCGCCGGCGGCGAGCAGCTTCTCCACTATTTCTCTGATCGCAGGGGCGCTGGCGGCGCACCGCTGGTCCTCGAAGCAGGAGCGGCCCTCCTCGGCGGCCCTGCAGAGCTGCGGGTCCAGCGGGACCTTCCCCAGAAAGGGCACGTGCATGTCCCGGCACATCCCCAGCGCGCCGCCGCGGCTGGCGGCGAAGACCTCCGCGCACCCCTCCAAGGCCAGCAGCTCGGGGGCCCTCTCCCGGATGTAGTCCATGGCCCAGTCGGTGACGTCGGCCCCGTCGCCGGGCCGCACGAACCTGAAGCCGGCGAGGGGCTGCCGGAGGCCGCTCATGTTCTCGACCACGCCGAGCACCCGTATGCCTACCTTCCTGCAGAAGCTGATCTCCTTGCGCACGTCGGCGAGGGCGACCTCCTGTGGGGTGGTGACGACGACGGCGCCATCGACGCCAGTGGCGAGCAGGTACTGGGCGATGGAGATGTGCTCGTCGGAGGTGCCCGGGGGGGCGTCCACCACCAGGTAGTCGAGCTCCCCCCAGTCTACGTCCTTGAGGAACTGCTTGATCAGCCCGTTCTTGCGGGGGCCCCGCCAGATGACGGCCTCGTCCGGGTGCGGCAGCATGAACCCCACGGACATCACCCCGAGGTTGGACTCCAGGTAGATGGGAGACCAACCGAGGCTGCTCTGGTGGATGTCCTGTCCCTCCAGCCCCAGCATCTTGGGGATACTCGGCCCGCAGATGTCGATGTCCAGCAGCCCCACCTGCAGCCCCATCCCCGCTAGCGCGAAGGACAGCTGCGCGGAGAACGTGCTCTTCCCCACCCCACCTTTCCCTGACAGAACCAGGATCTTGTGCTTCACGGTCGCCATCCGCTCCGCTATCGCCACCAGGTCTGCAAGAAGGGAGAACACATTGAGGTGGAAGCTCGTTCGTCTGTGATCCGCAATGTTTCTACGTAAATAAGAGATAAGACCGAAGAGCGATGCTCGGAGAGACAGATTTTTGTTTCGCCAATGAAAGGAAGAAGTGGAATCAATGGTGCGCGCAGAGAAGAAACAGAAAACAGAGGCAGTAAAACATCATAAAACACGTTTAAGTGGGCCTCCTCGCCCCATACATCAGCCTGTGGGCAAGCTCAAGCGTGATCCTCAGCCTGTGGACTCTTAAAACTGCTTCATCCACCAAAGAAATTTATCAAATGAGCCTCATCCTAGAGGCATGAGACATGTTCCACGTGGAGAACTTTCAAATGGGCTTTGTCAAATGGAATTTTAAAAGGGCATCACCCAGTATTAACAGGGTCTCATCCCCCTAATTATCACGACATACATTTATTTTGTTGAGGCATCTTTTTATGGCACTTGATCAAAGTTACGAAAGCAACAGTAAAATCCTGTCTTCGTATAAGAATGGTCACTTCAACAAGCTCAAAGATCCAGAAAACCTTCGACTACAAAGACATATCTCCACTTATCCTAAAGCAAGAAATATGCTATCCAGCAGAAAAGCCGACCCCCCTGACCACGCAAACTCTGTAAGAATGGCCAGTTCTTGATCCTGTGGACAGGACTAGAAACGATGATAAAAGGACATATGGAGAGAACCATACGATACTACCAGAAACGCCCGGTAAACAAGAACTTTCACTTTAAGCTGGAGGTTGGGAAAAAAAAAGAATGACAAAAAGAATAAGAAACTAGAAAATGCAATGAAGCAGCAGATGGTGGCAAACATGGCTGACAGAATTTCAGGCGGTGAACTGGTCAGAATGGCCCACTGTTGATCAAAATAGAAAATCCCAGCCGAAATTGGAAATAAATCGAATGATTTTTATGATAGACGAGAAGACCAAAAATGGTCGAATCATGCATGGTTCAATGAAAGAAAAGTCTGGAAGTGTGATACTTCTCTATTTTCTTTCCTTAGATGAAACCGTATTCAGCTCATACTCTGGCATGAAGTCCTGTGTGGCCATTTACTGGCATGAAGCAGATACTTCTGCTACTTTAATGCTAATCCTTCAATCAATTTACCATCATGGGGCGACCTGATGAGTTATGCGAGATACATCTGTAGGTGCTTGGTGGCAGGCTTGATCACTAAGTAAGGCTGATGAGGACGTGAGAAGTTACAGCACACATGGCTGGATGGTGGAAACCAACCAGGATATTCTGTTTTGGTTAGGAGAACCCTCCGTCTCCCAACCTTGGCACGTTAACTGAGTCATCCATCTCTCGATTGCTTCCAATGGACTGAGCAATGATGAGGTCAATCTGTCTTTTTTGTCCTTTCATTTATTTGTTGTCTAAACTCCTCTCTGGAGTAAAACACGATTGTATCTGGTGGTCATCCTAACATGGAATTTTGTGTAGTGATGGTTGTCATGTTTTTACAGTGATAGATAGTTTATGTTGACGGGAGGAAGGGAAATAAAGAAAAGGAAAAACAAAAGGAACATGGGGAGGGTGGAAGCACGAGCTGGGTTGTGGAGTGTAATGTCGGCAGGTGGAGAAGTGGTAAATGGAAAAGGAGAAAAATGAAGGGTAAAAAGACGTGGATCATGACGCAACCCAATAAGAGGTTAAGAAAAAGAAGTGTATTTATAGACGGCAATAGTTCCCCAGAAAAGGAGGGGAAGAAAAAATTATCCTAGGAAACACAGGAGTCAGGTAGTCAGAGATACTGACATAACCTACATTACTCAGATAATGGCCAGGCAGGGAAAAATATTAGGACACAGTCTCGGAGCATGGCACTATCTTAGCCATAGCAGATGTGATATTCAGCATTCAATCATATTAAAAGACGCCCTGATTTTTCAGATTATTAATCACTTGTTTGCATAGAAGGGACCAGTTCTTCATACAATTGGATCACTACGAGATATGTGCAAACTAAGTGTAAACAGAAGTAGCACGTGAGTTTCATTCTTATTGGTAATATCATAAATTCATCTATGCTACAACCAGATTGGCTACTCAGCACTTTATTTTTATAGATGCAGCATTAAGCAGGGAAAACAATCGGATTGCTATGACCAATGTAATTACGACTGTAACATCCAGTACCTGTTGATTGCCCACAGAGTACATTATTTTTAGATTGATGCCTTACCCACGGAAGAAAATTTCATTTCCAGGGAGAGACAATTATTGGAAACAGATTGCAGAAAGCCGTCTATTTTGTCAATCTTCACCAATCACTAACCTCCCTATCCTCTTTTTTCGGATAATCAGTATACAACAGCAACAACACTGAATCCAATTTATGAATAATAAGCTTGAATCTACATAAAAACAGAAAGAAAATGACAAGGCAACTTTTCTTTGATGTTGTGGAAGTTGGATGGCTCTACATGATAGAAAGAAGATATTGCCTCAGCTAAGGGTTTATTCTCTTTTAGTATTCACCATGTAGATCTGTGTATCTTCCACTTCACCTAAGTATATTATAGTAAGAGGGCCACATGAATTCCGAATTTCTTCAACATTATTTCCCATTGGTAAGGACCTTTCATCGAAATGTCCCAAAGTTGTGCTTTGTGCACTATGTTTTATGGCACCTTTAACATTGGAAACTACCCAACCTCACTACTTAGTGAAGAGGATGTCAGAAAAATTTCCCAGCAGAGATCATGAAAGTTCCACTAAATAAGAAATTGTAAGAGGCGAGAACCAGAAGGGACTTGAGGAAAGATTCCAACAATGTGTAACCTTAAATATAAAATTGACAAAGTGGAATCAACCATGAATTCATTGCATAGAGCTGCCTCCGTGTACTTAATGCAAGATGAGGTTTCCCCTTACATTGAAACCACATGCAGCTACAAATATTTCCGCGAACATAACATTTTGGCCGACGTAAACTAAGAAATAGTTGGGGCACTGTGAGAAGGATGGTCAAAATCCTTCAGAGATGCATTGCATGAAGCTATCTGGGCACTTTGTGAGTCTTGATACCCAAAAAAATTTGACCATTAGAAATTTCCATATGCTTGTAACAAAGGGTGCGTGCAATCTAAATGAGGTACAAATTACAGCCATAAGACCAGGAGAGAAGATCAATAAGGAATTAAGCATATTCACTTCGCAGAAATTTTAGAAAGCGGAATGTCAATAGTTTAAATTTCTGGCGAGAACAAATTCTCAATACAAGCGGGCCATAGGAAAGAAAATATTCTGCTATGTGCGGACTAAGCTCATATTGTTAAATAAATGATGGAATAAAACGGGTAGTAAGGAGCTGTCAGAAGCACCCCACTCAAAAAGAAACGCATAGGCAACCAGCCTATCATGTCGATTTCTCAGGCCACTAAAAATATACCTTCTCTCGGTCGAAATCCTGAGATGCTAAGTCATTCCATCCTTGGCAGAACATCCTTCAACTAATCATTTTTCATCCACTTGAGAAAAAGCACATCACCTTTCTATAACTTAACTTCAATTACTACACAATATTGAACAGAAATCTCTGAAGAGACATCACCATCTTAGTCCTCATGAGAAGTCAAAAACGAAATCAGATGTTCTCCACTGCTCAGAAGCAGCTCTGGCAATGACAAGGCCCATGCCAACCATAGCCCATCATGTATCCATCCATCAGTATCCTGGCCAGAAGAACTGGGATTCAGACAAGGCGTTTCGTCATTAACTGCCAGGACATCTGTGCCACTCATCAGTGGCATATGTCAAGTCAGAGAGAGACAAAATAGCTGCATATGAGCCCAAGGAAACTACTTTTCAATAAGAGCTCCAAACCAATGTGCTCTCCGCACAGGTTTTTGTTACGCATAATAAGTAGCAAGGTCAAGTCGGCGTACATCAACCTAGAATCCCGAAAAAACAACGGAACCAGACCAAAAGGCCTATCTATGAATGAGACCAGCCACGAAATCCAACCCTTCTTCCCCGTCTCCCAAGCAGACGCTCAACTCAAGTTCAATTTGCTTTTATATAATTATTGATGCGAAAATACCAAAAACGGTGAACAGAGGAATGGTCCGCCTACCTGGGTCTGGTCCCTTGGGGGCGGTGGCGCAGACCTCCTGATTGGGGCAACCTTTACATGCGTCTGACTTCCCTGCTGCCTCCGACTGAGTCCCCGGACAGTCTAAAAATGAAGCGAGGGAAAAACAATCATTATGATGACAGCCACAGCCAAAGACGGAAAACTAAGAGCTACGTATCCTCTCAACTGAGATTTCTCCTCTCGAAAAAACAAAAGAAGAAAAGGGATAATCCAATCAAATAGAACGAAATCATAAGGAGGAAGAAGAATAAGGAGAAGAAGAAGGCATTCCGTTTTCGATATTTCGATGGCAAGAGGAAGACAGAGTGGAGGACGAAAAGAGATTTCCTACATACGTTCGTTGGCGTCCTCCGGTACTTCTCCCTGGGTAGGCTGGTTGTGTCCGTTATCCACCATGGCACCTCCGCGCGCCGCTCGCCTGAACCTCTCAGGCGAAGATCGAGAGAGAGAGAGAGAGAGAGAGAGAGGGAGAGAGAGGAAGGTTTTACAACATACCGCCTCCCGGGAGCCGCCTAATATATACGCGCGGCCTGGGGAGTCTTCGTAGGCCCCGCCAGAACGCCGACTTTCCCAATCGACGTTGACCACGTCACCTGTCACGCGCGCTTCCTGTCGACTATTTACTGTGAAATATTCTATGAGATATTTTTAATTCGTTCGGTAATCTTAGACAATTCTACTCGGATTAATGAGAAAAAATGAATTACACGTTTAATCAATCGCTCTAGTTAATAACCAGGAGAACCCAAAAATTACCAAAAATCATTGGCGAAACGGATTAAAGTGCCGAGAGTGAGAGGATTCGTACTGCGCCAGCCTCAACAGCAGTATCAGCTAATAGGCTGCGATGCAGGTCTCTTATGTCTGAGGCCCCACGGCGAAAGTTGTGCTTGAAATTGTGAATTCGTGTACCTGAGGTTACGACCTTACAAAGTTGAGAAAACGTCCGGTCTACACTTAGTAGAGGTTTAAACTGAGAATAAATAAGGCTTTTTTATATGTAGTTTACTTTTTTTAAAGGATGAAGTTCCGAAGAAATTCGAAACTAAAATAAACTACAAAAGTCAAAGCCCGGAACATGAACTGTGAGAGAATCTCCCGTTCATCGAGGGGTCAAGGAGAGAAGACAATACACAGTCAAATCCCCCTCCTGATCCCACACAGAGATCTCAGATATAGGGTACATATTCCGCCAGTGCAGGACAGCATCTGCTGCACCGGGAAGCCAGAGTACGTCAGACCTTCAAGAACAATCAACATAAATCCGAGTAGATAACATCACGCACGAAAGAAGAAGACCGAAATCTCTGATCTTCCGTAGGCGGGAGGCACCTCGGAACCACATCAAGCATCACCCCCAAGCAACAGGGAATGTCCGAGGCCCTCTCGAGCTGAAGAACCCGTACGCATCTAATTGGTCAACTCCCGTCCAATGACAAGAGATCAGCTCTCTCTCTCTCTCTCTCTCTCTGTGTCTCTGGCTGGTTATTCTTCTTCTTCTTCTTTTCCCTCCGAACTGCCTGCACGGCTGACGGCAAGTAGAAAGAAAGGGGAGGGGAAGGACTATTGATTACCCCACGTGGCCGGCCAGAGAGCAATAGCTCGACTCCGCCGCAGCAATCTCCGAGCTGGGGTCGCTCCGTTGGTGCATCACCAGCTGGCCGGGGGAAGAAGAAGGGCGGTGATTCATGCAGGACAGACAGACCCACTCGAGGGCGAAGGTCTCCTCGTACTCGCGGTCGTGGATGCATCTCCCGCACTGGTTGCACCTCGCGATGCAGATCGAGCAGGCCCGGCATGGATCTGTGCCTTGGGCCCGGCAGCCACTGACGGGGCAGTCGTAGACGACCCTTACGTGGCGGCATCTGGGGCATTCCTCGACGTCGAGGGCGGGGTTGTGGTCGCACGAGGTCAGGTGGCGGAGGTGGTAGAACAGTGGCTTGCGGGCCCCGGGCTCTTGGCCTTGATCCAGGCGCAGCAACCGCGTTAGGACCTCAAGGTGTTCGTGGTTTATTCCATAGAGGCCGCCGACGCCCAGGCTCTTTATCCCAGCCCTGGCTGAGGACTCGAATAGCTTCAGGCTGTCTACAACCCCCTCTATGCTCAGCCTTGTGCACGCTGGAACATTCAGCTGCGGTTAAGAGAAGTAGAGGGTCGATCAAACAGAGATAGACGGATGAGCAACAATCTAAAGTAGAAAGTAACATGAAACGAGAGATGGACTGCTTTCCAGACCAAATAGAACAAATGAGCCATTGTTGACAAAACCGATAGAAAGTGACATGAAATGAACACAAGAATAACACTGGGATATTATAAGATTACCGAATATTCAAACCTTTCATTCCCATGGGCGTCAGATGAAGTTTATAGGCCTCTTACAATTTTTCCTTCTTTCTACGCTCCCCTTTTTACTCTTAAATGCTTTCTCAGTCATAAATGAAGCACGCACTGGCCTTTTCAGTCAGCAAAACCCATCAAATAAAAGATTTCAAACCACAATTCCCCCCGATTCCAATATAAATAAACGCAAGTAAAAAGAAGCTAGATGCACTTTTAAGCTTCCAGGACCTTTATGGAACAACGGCCAAGAAAGGTATTTCCTCTGTGCCAACAAATTACCATTGGGTTATACTCGGATCTAATCTGGTATGCACTCAAAGGAACTTAAACCTGAGAGGAATTCACACCATTGATGACATGCATAGGGCTTCAAATCAACACTATGAACCGAGTAACCACTAATATTAAATGATTATCCATCATTTCATCCCACAGCCCCGCCAAAAAAGAACACGGTTTGAAAGTTATATTAATGATTTCATCTTAAGGATCTGTAACAAATATAACCAATAGCAGAACAACAATCAACCAAAGCATGATCAAAACAATTTTAATAAGGAATTATAACTGAAATCTTCCTCTCTATGCATCACAAAATGGATAATGGCACTAAACTACCGTCTAGAGAGAGGGATGTTTCTGTAAAAAGGAAAAATGGAGAGGGCGATACCATTATCTCGGTCCCCTACAAACTTTGTTTTGGGAGCGTTCGCCATCAAACATCCTATTCATTCTCTTCCGTTATAGTTTACAATGAAGAAGCTCGACATTGATTTCCATCCATGATAGTGGATAACATTTCATTGGACAAGAGACTCCGGTAACTGATTACGGCTATGCAATCAAAGGGTTTCATTATTATATTTACAAAGCAGTGGCTAATTGAAAAAAAATACAGACCATCAAATGGAGGATATTCTAAAAAAAATGTTAACCAGAGAACAAATGTGGGAAAACAATTGCGTGCATATATCCCCACCAACTAAATCCATTACTTAACACACTGCCCTGTCTACAAAACCCATGAGTAGTGTTCAACAAAGTCATCACAAAACATAATGTACATAAACAAGGCATTTGTACATATTGAGGGTTTATGATTCGAGCTTTGATGTTGCCCCATACAGAAGATAAAAAAAAAAAAAAAAAAAAAACTGAATAACGGAGTTATTAACATAGGCATGGCCCTAAAGATGCACACATCTCTAGGATAGATGGGAGTATGGACTACCACCCACTGCGCTTTATGTCAACAAGTTGATGGGCAAAGAGAATTATAGAGCTAAAGGCATTCGTTGATGCTCATGAAACCTCAACAAACCATATATACTCAATATTAAAAAAAGTATATCGTTAAGTCCTTATAGATGCTTTCACCTTTTGGCTTCAAAATCTAGTCAGGAAAACACAAAAGACGCATGCTCAGCCTGACTTATTTCTTTTCTTTTTCTGAGCAGCCATTGATGGCATCCAACCCATTCCCCTGCGGTGGTACTCGCCCCCCTTTAACGCTGGCTGGAAAATGATCTCAACACCTTTCCACTAGTGACCACTAGTCCAGTGTGCAAGCATCTAAAATCTCTGATCCCATTCTCTCCCCAGCCCTGTCCCCAGGGGTTCCGCCACCCATATATTCCTTAGTGATTGCATGCAACCAGCTGGGCACGATCCCAAACTTCATAGGAGTCTTTTCTGTAGTCTATTTTCCCCTTTTCTCTGGGTCTGACAGAGTCTGGGCCTTGAAGAAGATGACCAGGCCCATGCCAGAATTCACAAGCCATAACCTAGCTGGCCAACACCCTCATCTACTCAGTGACAAATCATATCTCAATCGTCTATTTCTGAATAACATGAAAGACTGATGCTCATAATATGCCACGTTTGCAATAATTAATAGGCTCATATGTCTGGACTTCAAAATACGCCCTATGCATTTAATTAACAAATGAACTCAATAAACTGCTGGCAGGGATAAAGGATTTAGAAGTCTAGAAATAACCTTGTAGGCCATATGCAATTAGCTGGCAAAAGATAACTCATGATAACATAGAAAATAAGAAGACATGCTCAAAATTCAAAATATCAACCATAGGAACCAGTAACTTTACCCCAGAGCATGGCGCGGATTGTCAACAGGAGGTTGACAAATCTCGTCAATTTTTAACACTTGCAAGGACACCAATTCACTATCTTACGCGGCATTAATAGATCATTTTTTTCCTTGGGATACCCTGTTATGAAACTGTATACTATCTAAGTCAAAATTTAGCCAAGCATGTAACATCCGCAGACAAATTAACTCCTCTCCGTTAATAATCGTCTATTCCTTCGAGTAAAACTATATGCAAGGCATATAAAGCAATCAAAAAAACCTAAACAGTTTATAGCTCATATCTTGAAACACTTTTGGCTGATTGACAATAATTCAAGAAGTAATTTTCAATATGATAAACGGCAAGAAAGAAATCTCTCTCATGAAGAGATAAAATGGTAAACGTCAAACATCTCTAAAATACGTGCAAATATCAAACCTTGAGAAAATAATTTTTAAATGAAGAATCCAAAAACACAATAGACGTTACAACTAAAAATACTCCATAAAAGAAAAATAATACTTCTGCATTACAGAGGGAGCAGTCATGGGCTCCTTATCTACACTGGTCATTCTATACAGCGTTATGCCTACAACATCACTACAAATCAAATAATATCGGAAGAACACAAAAAGTAAACGATATTAAATACATTCAAGGCAGCACATGTAGAATAATAATAAGCACAGTCACAATAGCATAAAGGTACAAAAAAGAGGAAAATTAATTCAAAATTTAGTTGAATAAAGGAAAGACACAAAAAAGGGAAAACTAGTACGAAGAATATAGATGGGTGATCAATGATAGGAATCCAACAACTACCTTTTTTAGTCTCGGATTGTTCTCTAGCACATGTCTCAAGCCACTATCTGTAATTTGTGAGCATTCCACAAGGCTCAAGCACTCCAGACTTCCTTTAGTCCTATCAGTCAACCGTGAAAGGATGTCATCCGTTATATTCTTGCTCAAAGGAGGGCCTATGTGGATGTGCCTCCACAGGAGAGGATCTCCTCGAACTGCTGAACACAAAGTCTTGCAGACTCTCTCTACTGAGAGAAGGTCAGGAATGTCCAGGTAAGAAAGTGCAAATAGCAAGGCATCATGGGGGACACTGGTGACATCACTATAAGGGCCACTGCAGGAGCAATTCTCTGAATCAAGATGATCAACAACCAGATAATCCTCTCCCCGCCCACACTCTTCAACAGCAAACTTCAAAGGCTCCACCTCCACACACTCTCCCACGAGGGAAAAGTTCAAAGGAGGTTGTCTGATGAGTACAGTCTCAGAAGAAAACAGAGGGGAACCAACTATGCAGTCTTGAGCACAATGTGGAAAGAAACTGGTCGCAGCATCCATGGCTGCAGAATTCGCAGATCTGCTGTATATGAAATAGTCGAAGAGGTTGTCAGCATGGGGGCAGTAGTCCCCATATTCATAATAGCCACAGCGATCTACCACGGTGGTGGCGAGGTCCTCAATCCAGCCCGCAATGGCTGCTGTCCAAGTATTTGAGTCAGCAGACAATCCCATCCCAAAGGGATCAGCCGGGAGCAGGTCAACAATGTCATCATACACTGGTGTAGTCGGAGGTGGAGATGGAGGCAGCTCAGATCCACAGCCTACACCTTCACTCTTCACCATTTTGGTTGCTCCCCCTCCACTTTTCTCGCTCCTCCATCCGGATACGCAATCCTTCGGAGCCATCAAAAACTCCCAATCGAAGTCCTTCTCCCGGAAAAAAGAGGAGGGAGCAAATCCTCCCCCGTCAGGTGGCATGCCCGCCGGTGAGGACGCAGTAGGGAAGATCGTGTGCGATGAATAGTTGACCGTCATGGTTTGTAGAAATCTATGAAGACTGGAGACCCAAGATGTTGAAAAAAGGATAGACAGAGAGGAACCTCCCGAATCCCCGTAGAAGAAATAAAAACTCAGGTCACAAAGAATACAATGAATACTCTAAATTTCCTAAATTCACAGCGTTTCAAAGGTTTCCTTAGGGATTATAGAAAAGACCAGGAAATTTTCAGTTTCAATTACATCTGGAAGAGGAAGGACGAGAAGAAGCGCCGTGGTGCCGATTCCGACTAAAAAACTCCACGGCTACAGCTGGGATAAAATTGAAAGATCCGGTGAGAACGGGAGGAAAACTAATCAACGAATAGGGAGAACACGACGCGGGATCTGATATCGTAGGTTTGGGTGACCTGGAGTTAGGGTTCCGAGGAAGAATCAACCTCGGGGGAGGATTTCACGAGCTGTGCGCTCGATCCAGCGCTAGAATCGACCTTCTCTACTGGCTCTCCGCCGATCGGGCTTGCTTCGACGAGGGGGAAGAGGGACAGCACACGGGAGGGAGATCAGAGTGGAGGGAAAGAGCGTGGGAAGGACGAAATTGGGCGAGTTCGTGCGAAATTTGAGCCCTTTTAAAGTGGTAGGTAGCCACGCGCGACGACCGATGGAGGGAGGACTTGGAGGATTTTGCTGAGCCCGGTCGGCTACCCCGGTCCGGTCGAACCGGATTTCCGCGTCGAGAGCGGTTGGACCGGCCTCTCAGAAGACGAGAATCTTCCGGCGCACGAAATTGAGACGCGGGAGGGGCCACCGGTTGCACCATTAAAGTCAAAAATTTGACGTCATTAAATGATATTATTATTCAATAATTTGACGGACAAGACGTCCCGTTTATCTGCGGGAAATGAGTGTAGTAATTTTTTTTTCTATATTTAGCATACATTTTCCTATCGTAAAAAAATAAAAAATATATATTTGACCAATCGAAGCACACCCGCACGCCATCAGGATTTCGGTTGCGCCGGATTATATTTAGAGTTTGTTTTTCAAAGGAAAGCTAATATTTTAAAATAAAATTCTCAACCCCATTGTTGACCAGAAGAAGTGAGAAATTTTGACCTCGCGCATTCAGAGGGTTGAATGTCTTCATTATTTTATGGATCATACTCTGAAGCTAGAAATGCAGTAAAATAATCAGTATCGATCTGACCTCTTATTCTTGGAACGCCACTAATATGCTAAATTATATAATAAATAATGAATAATAAAATTAAAATTAATTTCCATATAAAATAATTAAATACTGGTACAGCAACTTGGATATCAGGTCCTGAGTGTATTAGTTTGGATACATATGCTCATTTTCTGTGCGCGAAGAAATCGGATCCTGGCTTGACCCGACAACAGTCGAGCGCTCAAGACCCATCTGTCTATTGAAATATCCAGGTTCATCAGGCCCACAGAATGGACGGTCTGGGATGTATCTGATCGGAGGGCCGGAGAAAAAAAGGGTAATGAAGAAAAATCTACAGAAGCTCGTTTCCGTCCCGAGGAAGGGAACTGTGTCGCCCACCACCTTCCCCTTCCAGCAACAGCCATCGGATAAGGCGGCGAAGCGGGAGAGAAAAGGCGGCGTGAAAGCTGAAGAGCCGGTGTGGCCCTCGGAGGCCAGCGGGAGGGGTAGATTGTGGTACTATCTATTTTGGGAGGAGTTAGAGGGCGAGGTAGCCAGTGAGAGATGGCGAATTCGCTGGCCACAAGCTGTGCGGCGTCGCCCGCCACATCTCCGGCGACCATAGGCTTCGCCTCCTCCCGGAGGACCCTGCCGAGTAGAAACTTGTTGAATGTGCCGCCGCGGGATTGGATCTCTTCTTCTTCGTTCAGGTGCCCTTTTTTGCTTGTTTTCCTGGTTTCCTCTTGGCGAAGCTTCGGGGTATTTCATATTATGAGAGGGCCGTCGCCGTGCTTCAGGAAGTGCGCGTCGATTCGTCGCAGCTGGAGCGGTCCTAGGGCCGTGTACGCCGACGGGTGCTGGGGACCTGAGCGGAGCTACCGCAAGGGAATTTGGTCCATCAGGCATGCGCTCCTATTCTTCTCCTTAGGTTTCCGTTGTCTTTTTGCAGGTGCTGGTGTCTTCTCTTTTGCTAAATCTGCCTCTCCTTCTTGTTTGTCGGTTAGGGAGGATTTGCAGATGCCTTCCTCTCCTTACTTCCCAGTGGAGGCGCAGGCCGGCCAGGGGCCACCGCCTATGGTGCAGGAGAGGTTCCAGAGCGTTATCAGCCAGCTATTCCAGCACGTAAGGACCTGGAATCAATTTATTTAGCATAGTGTTCATGTGTGCAATTTTAGGGCATTCGAATCATTCTATATGGTTTTCGGTTGATTGTGTATGGTTATCTGTTAGGTGACATCATGTTCTCTGGTATCAATTGTATCACGATGTCGTAGTAACAATGGTTCCCTTTTCCAGAGAATAATCCGCTGTGGTGGGGCGGTTGATGATGACATGGCGAATATCATCGTTGCGCAGCTGCTGTATCTTGATGCCATTGATCCTAATAAGGTCCCTATTCTCATTTATTTTGGAATGAAAGATCATATAATTAATGATTGTCTCTTATTGATGGCCATTTTAAGTGTTAATTTCTTGGAACTCTGGTGGTCTTTCTCTAATTCCGCGTTAATGTGCGACAGAGAATGCTCCTCACTTTTTTTGTGAACTGGTAACTGCTGAATTTGAACCAGGAGATTTTCAACAATATCTTTCCTTAGGTATACTATCCTACGAGAAAAATGTCAAAAGAATTAAGAAATTCATTCATATAATTATTTCCTCTGAAACCCATGCGATCTGATGGACATCAATTCAAAGATGATTTTATATGCATAGAAGCACTTTTTCTTCCTGTAGTTTGGTAGTGTCCCAAAGTTAGATAGTGTCACTAGCAATTGGGGAGCGAACGGAAACTCTTTTTTAGATGAACATGATTCTTGAGATCGAAGAGTAAAATGTTAGGGTTAATCGATTTCCTATACCATTTATTAAGGTTTCCGAATCTGTTCTCAACTTGGACGGTCGTTCAGAGTAGGAAAGACAGTTGTAAGTTACATTTCTCGTTTACTTGGAATAGCTCCCTCAAATTTGGTGATTTTTTTCCTAGATGTCAATGGAACTGACACTTTGTTCATGCGTCGAAATCTCATGTTGCATGCATTGAGGGCTTTCTGTGTTTGAACCTGAGTTTTCTTAAGGAGAAAACAACATAATATAGCTATTTTTTCACAACGCGCATGTTTTTTTCAGAGTATTCTTTCGAAGTATGTTGTTTATTGGCTGTCAAGTCCACTTGTCTCTGGAATGGGTGTTATGCTATCATCATTGCTGTGTAATAGGTTGTTACTGATAGCCCGAGAGGCACTTGTCTGGAATGGGTGGAGGATTTCGTAAATATCAATTGATTTGTAGTATCAAGTCCTCACTAGGAATTTATTTGATTGTGTGCAAACCCCTCTTTAGTGCTCATGCTTGTTCAGTTGAGTTATGTTAAAGAGAGGCTGAACCTGCTCTGGCCCTGGAATTTTTTTTTCTTTATGTAAAGCAGACGTCCTGATTATGTACCTGAAACATAAAAGTTATACCTATGTGTGGTAACTAGAACATGAGGTATTTTATTATGGCCCAGAGCTATTTTCAAAGAATGGTTTTTAACATCATGCATGTGAATGAAGAGGAGGTAATAGGTTGTATATTTAACATTACGGATGTCTCTTTGCATTTTCTTGTAAAATTATAAATTGTTGTTGACCTATAGTGAAAAAGAAATTATGACCCGGCCATAGATTCACTATGTTATCTCCAATGTGATGACCATATGTACAATGGTATCGCCTTCTTTACGTAATTCATACAATAGAATAATGTCTCATGCGATTGCAATTTAAATATAATTGTAAAGAAGTTCTACTCTCATCTGCTTCTCTGGGTGAAATGACAATTCTGAATGGTCATAAGAGTTGCATATGACTATTCACCTAGGCTTCTTTTGACCGCTCTCATTATGCATCTTTCTCATGTCTTTAAATATTTTATATCCACTTACGGAATGCCCTCTGATGTTGAGAGAAAAAGGAATTTGTGGGCATGCGTAATAATTACGAATTGCATTAAATACACAAGTACACGTGGAAAATAAAGGCAAACTGCGTGCCAGATTTATTTTCTCTTGACGGAGATAACTTTTTAGCAAATAATTTTTGATGCAACTACTAACCTTCCAATTATCCTAAATCTTACCCCTGTTGTATGTTTTTCGTGCCTTTGTAAGCCTGGGGTTTGGAACTAAACTGTTTTGAAAACAGAGACTGATTGTTCGTTTCAAAAAGTGACTTAGTCATGTGATTACTCTGGAGAACAGATAAAGGCAGCAAAAAATCCAAATGTCAAAGGTACCATTGGTCTCACTTTATTGCTGTTAGGGCAAGCGTTTTACAAATTGGATCAGAAGCCAGGTGCTTTGGCTTCTGGTCACTTCAATACTTGATAAGAGCTGGGCTAAACTGTCGGTGAGTAAAGACAGAACTATCAGGCGTTTTCGGTCCCATCCCACACCCTTTTTTTAAATGGTAATCCAGAATGTGTTGATCTCAAATAATCAGACTCCCAACTCATGTTCTGAGTTGACCAATCACATTAGAGATATGCTTTGGCTCTGAAACTGTTTTGGATCTGCTAGAATGTGTGGTTTCCATGTGATTGTGTGGTCTTTGCTAAACATACTACCAACAAAGATATATAATCGTTTCGTGACTTGGAATGAAATGTGTGGTAGGTGCGGATCACGAGGTTAGATTCTTGGCAGATGTGTACCTGGGAGACGTCCTCTTTTGATCACTTCCAATTATTGTCTGCTCTTGACTTCTTCCATAATTCATAAGGGCGTGGGTGTGTGGCTGTGGGAGTTCGGGTTCATTCTTATAGCTCTTTCATAAAAGTTTCAGAGAGAAGCTTTCCCTATCTACCCTTAAACTTGGTGTTGATCATGTAGGACATTGTCATGTACGTGAACTCTCCCGGAGGATCGGTGACAGCAGGTAATAATAAATGCTTCCTTCATGTAACTTTCTCATTATTGTCTGCATTTGATTAGAACCTTAGGGCATCTGATAGACCATTTAATAATGAAATTCGTCTCCACCAACCTTGTAGGTATGGCGATCTTTGATACAATGAGGCACATAAGGCCTGATGTCTCCACCGTCTGTGTGGGACTGGCGGCGAGGTAAGAGCTTTTACTCTCGATCTCCTGGTTGAATCGTCTGGTAAAACGTGATTGTCTGATGTTATCAATTCCCCTTTGGATGCCACTGGTCTCTCTCTCTCTGTCTACGCAGTATGGGTGCCTTCCTCCTCAGCGCCGGAACAAAGGGTAAGTGCAACATTTGCTCACTTAGTGATCTACCTGGCCGCTATGTCCTCACGGCCGGCGTTTTGATCCAGGGAAGAGGTACAGCCTGCCCAACTCCAGAATTATGATCCACCAGCCTCTTGGTGGCGCCCAGGGCGGGCAGACTGACATCGACATTCAGGTGAGCGCCGTTGTTTCTTCCTGCCGCCGCCGTGTTGTTTGACTGGCGGCTGAACTCGGTCTGCTCCCCGGCAGGCAAACGAAATGCTGCACCACAAGGCAAACCTGAACGGGTACCTGGCCTACCACACGGGGCAGAGCCTGGAGACGATCAACCAGGACACCGACCGGGACTTCTTCATGAGCGCCAAGGAGGCCAAGCAGTATGGCCTCATCGACGGCGTCATCACCAACCCACTCAAGGCCCTCCAGCCCCTCCAGCCCCTGCCCCCCACAGACCAGTGAGAGACCATCAAAGAGAGAAGGAGCCGTAATGGGTGGCTTCAGGAGTCCTCTTCTTCCTCTGTTTACATCATTCTCTGCTGATTTTGCAGGTGTTTAGGGATTTTTAGCCGAGTTGTCTTCACAGAAAAAAAAACCCGGAAAATATTCCTGCTACCCTCTTCTTTTTTTTGTTTTAGCTCTACTAGGTTTCTGCATGCGAGTTGGTTTTAAGATATTCTTCTGAGGCGTCTAAGAGGCTTTATGTTCTCCAGGAATGTAGGAAAAGAATATTCTAAGGATCTTAACCTCGTCTCAGAGAGAGAGAGAGAGAGAGATCATGTACGTTAGGTTTTTAGGGACTAAATACCGATTAAAACACGTATCAGAGTTATAAACAATAAATATTATGTTATAGGGATGAAAGTGTAAGTTTGGCACGTGAATATTTGGGTGTCATAGTAATATATAATCTTTTGAGGTTCACTAGAAACCCACATCTTCGAAAAACCTCTCTCTCTCTCTCTCCTCTCTTGGTTGCCCGTGTCGCTCAACAGAATCGCTTGACCGCTTGTAGGCCGTAGCCTAGGTCGTCTGCGGTTCCTCAGTGGCTGTCTTGCTCGTATTTCTTGGCAACCGCTGGTCATCCACAAGTTGCCGGGTTCGCCACCGGAAGCCATTCTCCGTTGTACAGAAGGTGCTTTTTATATTTTACATAGGCGATTATATTTTGTGCAGAAGGTGTTTATCCGGCCTGTATCAGGCGCAATCTTGTTTCCTGTGCCGGGGAAAAAGTGGATGACACTAGTTTTGCTGATTTTCCTCAATTCCTAGTATTCCTGTTCTTCCGATCGAATCTTCTTTCCTGTGACCACGGAAAAGTGGAGGACACTAGTATTGCTAATTTTCATCAATTTCTGTAGTTCTCTCAGGGAAAGAAATAAATTTCCTACGCCTTTAGGTTTTGATGTGTGGGCGATAGTTGGTGGGAAGTGGGATGTCTTAGCGTTTGTGATGTTTTGTTCGATCTGTTGTTGGTTATCTAGGTGGCTGACATTTCAAGGTGGCTTTGGGGGACGATGCAGGGTCCTTCTGAAGTTCTTGCTCCCCATCCGGATTCCACATTTCAATGTTTGTCTTCCTAGGGAGGAATCAAGGGGTTTTTAGAAAGGCTCGAAGAATCTTCTTCCCCAAATGTTGCTCAGTAATTGGACTTCGCTATTACGATTGTCCATCTATTTCTCATCCTTCAGTGGAGGTATTGGCTTCTGCAACGAGTTATCAGGATCGCCATCTATGCACCCAAGCAAGTATAGTTTCTTTTGGATTAGAGGAAAAGGAGGCTGCCCGTCGAATTCGTCATGTTATATCTCGAATGTGTAATGGGACTGTTGAGGATGTTGTCAAGCGTCTTCAACATTATCAGGATTGTTCTCAGATCCAGATCTCAGTCTCCCTCGTGGAAAGTTTGTTGGGTGGGTTTGGAGACGACTGGAAGTCTGCTATGGGGTTTTTTAGGTGGGCTGCTTTGTGCTCCGGATGTAAACATACATTGAGATCGTATAATAAAATGGTAGACTTGTTGGGAAAGATGAAGCAATTCAGTAGAATGTTAGAGTTGGTCAGTGAGATGCGTGAGGAGGGTATCATTACACTTGAGACATTCGCAAAGGTGATGAGGCGATTCACAGGTGCTGGGAAGTATGAACAAGCCATTGAGGTCTTTAATGATTTGGATTCTTTTGGACTCACTAAGAACACAGAGGCAATGAACATCTTGCTTGACACCCTTTCCAAAGAGAAACATGTTGAGACTGCTCGAGAGGTCTTTCTAGAACTCAAATCCAAGATTCCACCTGATGCTTACACATTCAACATTTTTGTCCACGGGTGGTGCAAGGCTAATCGTATTGATGAGGCTGAATGGACGATTCTAGAGATGAAAGGCTATGGTTTCCGCCCTTCGGTGATCACATACTCAACCATCCTCGAAGCTCAGTGCAGGAACCGCAGTGTTCATAAGGTTTATGAGCTTCTGGACAAGATGCATGCCGAGGGATGCATTCCTAATGTTGTCACATACACTATTATCATGCATTCACTGGCAAAGTCCCATGGATATGAAGCTGCATTGCAAATAGTCGACAGGATGAATGCTTCTGGATGTAAGCCTGACACACTCTTCTACAATTCCTTGATCTATGTGCTAGGGAGGGCTGGTCGGTTGTCTGAAGCCTCCCGTGTATTTGAGATGGATATGCACCGGAATGGGGTAACACCTGATCTGTCAACTTACAACACCATGATCTCAGCCTTCTGTCACCACTCATGCGAAAAAGAAGCGTTAGAAGTGTTGGAGAAGATGGAAAATGCTTCTTGCGTGCCTGACCTCCTGACATACACTCCACTACTTAAACTTTGTTTGAAGAAAGGGAAGACTGTTGATCTTCTCTCCTTTCTGATGAACGACATTGTCAACAAGTACCATTTAAGTCTGGACTTAGCAACATACTCTCTCTTGATCCATGGGCTATGTAGAGCTGGGAAAACTGATTGGGCATTCCTTCTCTTTGAGGAAATGATAAATCAAGAGATAGTCCCTAGGAATCGGACATGGAAGTTGCTCTTGAAGGAAGCTGAACAAAAGAGTATGCATGGCACTGTAGAAAGGATCAAAGAGCTGGTGAAGCAAAGTAGACACTTTGGTTGTTCTGAATAGAAGCCTAGCTTGCTGACTTTGTTGACTTATGTGTTGTATACAATCAGCTTTATATGTTCATTTCTCTGTAAGCATCTCGTCATTTCTCATGGTAGGATGGTAGGTGTCCCCTCTTCAATTGATGGACTATTTATGGTTCTACAGCTTCGTATTGGACTTCACTCTTCTAGAATATGCCTTCGGCTTTGGTTATCATGCCTTAAAATATGCATTCCCGTTTGAGAATTTGATATTTTTGATCATGTGATGAATGGAAAATCTCCTCAAGGTCACTTTCCGTTAAAAATAAATTTGGCTGGCGAAGACTTGGTCAGGATGGGAGACTAAACCTTTCCACTAAAATTTTTCTCTACAATCTTACTTCCTTAGACCCCTTTTTGTGAGAATTTTGGCGAATTATCTTACTGATAAGTGACTTGTTAGCTTGCCATCTCCGGCTGTCTTAACCCAATGCCTGGCTTTGTTTTCGGTTGAGAATATTCAGGATTTTTAGTAGTTCAGCTTTTATCTATGGAATTGGAATACTTTTGGCCTAGTTCGCCAGGGGTAAACGCGTCACCACTCTGTAACTCAAACTACAGTTGAGTTAAATGGAAAGGCCATCTAGCTAAATGTTCGTACAAGCTTGCTCCCATACTGAAATCTATTATTTCAAGTCTATTGGAGACCGTGTGCAAATACATTCCTCATTATTACAGTCGATGGGCCTCACCAAGTTCATAAGATTCTTTCATGGAAAAAATGGAATGCCATTATAGCAGCACCTTTTCTGGAAGGTGATCGATCAGCTAAGGGTTCATGAGAATTTGTTGAAAAATTAAATCCATCTTTTGGTTGGGCTGTCAGCATGGCAAGAGCAGTGGATTTACCGTGCTGTCACTCTGTCATTAGCCACAGGGAAGAGTAACCCTAATTCTACTCATCGCTCCCACCAAAATATGTATGTTCTAGGATTGAGAGCTCTTTCAAGTTCGTTCTCACCTTCCATGGAACTTTTCTTTACGCATACTTTTGCCTGGCCAGTTTTCAATTATTTTTTCTCGAGTTTTGGTTTTTGGCGCAACATCTTTGTTTCTTTTATTTGAACACTCTTGTTTTTATTGTGCCTTAGAGCTTCATCATATAATGCAGTCCGATAAGCCCATCCATCTCCCCCATCTATCACAGTTGCCATTGAAGCAACGCTGTTGCGCTTTCTATCAAAACCTTACGGCAACTAGCCATCAGGCATATCGGTGCCATTAATTTATTAGATATGAAAACCCAAATGAACCCTTGTTTGCTTGGATCTCTTCCATAAATGCTGATGCCATCGAGTTTGACTGGAATCAACTGGCCCCTATATAAGTTCTGATAGACTGGAATCCGGAGGAATCAACCGGAAGTCAACCAAGACTGTCTTTTTTGAGTTCATTATTTACTGCCCAGCCGTCTGCCCCATGTAACACTCTTTTCAAGCCGCACAGACAATCACCTGGTATATACTACATGTGGCATTGCAGTTCCTCTTATTCAATACTATTGACAACATGGGCATCTATTCTCTTTGTTTTTATGCTTGATAAAGATCTAGATGCCAAGATTTTTGCATGTAGATGTTTCCCATCCTTAAATGGTGCATGCGTAGCCATTGTGGTTCGTGATCCACAGCCAGATGGTTCGGTTATGGCCCATTGCCTATCTAATCTGTCAGAGATTGTATGCACAATCAATCCACGATACCCGTATATTCTTGTGTCTCTGTATACTTCTTGGATACATGGCGGTGGACAATATGGGCCTAGTGCACGAGTTTACGTGCATGAGTTCCTATCCGATTTCTTGTTGAACTTGTCTCCTGACGCCAAGCTCCCTTGGCTACTTTCCCTGAGGTTCTGTCTAACACAGGCGGGCCTGTCTTATGGTTATGCATGGTGTTCCCGAGGAAAACTTTCGTACACTAGTACTCATGTGATTTTGATATATTAAGTGGTATCTCTTCAAATTCTCTTCCATCGTGATTTTCGATAAAACGCAGGACAGCTGGATCGTGAAGAAGGCAAGCGAGGATGGCGACGAGCTGCGTGAAACTCTCGAGGCGCATCTGTGTGATCGGGGTGCCAGCAGGCAGTAGAGGGTTTGCGGCGGGCGGCGCCAAAGCGAAGAAGGGCTCCAAGGGAGCGGGCGACGCGCCGAAGGCCTCCACCATCTCCAACGAAGTGAAGGCCTCCACGGTGGTCGGGGCCAACATTCTCAAAGACGGGGTCGACCCCAAGGTCATGCCGGATGCGGACTACCCCGACTGGCTGTGGCGCCTCCTCGACAAGCGCCCCCCCCTGAGCGAGCTCCAGCGGAGGAAGCCTGAAACCCTCTCCTACAACGAGCTCCAGCGCCTCACCAAGCTCGACAACCGCGCCAGAATCAAGGAGAACAACGCTGTCAGGGCCAAGAACTGATCATCCCCCTCTTCTGCGTTTTTAGTTTCGTTTCCCTGCAGGGATCAATGCTTCAGGAGACGGCAAAGATTTTTCCCATTTTACATGGTATCCACAAAAGCTTCATCCTACCCCGGCGACTGGGCGCCGAAATTTACAGAGGTGAGAAGGGAAGAAGGCCAAGACGATGGTGGAGGCGAGGGATGGCCGCCGGTCAAGAAATTTCGACGGGGCGGACTCTTGGCTGGCTGGCGGCGGCCTTCTCCTTCTTGGGCACCTTCAGGGTGAGCACGCCGCTGTCCAGCGAGCATTGAAGGGCGTCCATGTCGGCGTTCTCCGGCAGGCGGAAGCGCCGGTGGAAGCTCCCCAATCCAAGCCGCTCCCGCCGGTGCCATGTTCCCCCGGCCGGAGACTCCTCTTCCTCCTTGCCGGAACGCTCACCGCGGAGGTCGAGGACCTTCCCGTCCTCCACTTGGACCTTCACCTCCTCCCTCTTCAGGCCTGCCGTCGCAGAGAGATCAGAAAACAGCCCAAGGTCGTCGCGACGTCCACAGGAGCCGGCACTTACCCGGGACGTCGACGCGGAAGATGTGGGTATCAGGGGTCTCTCGCCAGTCGACGGTGACGGCGCCGCTGCTCACTCCCCGCCGCCGCCCGCGGCGGCCAGCGTTGCGCTCCCGCCCGAAGCCAATGTCGAAGGGGTCCCAGACGTCCCAGGAGAAGGGGTCGTAGTAGTCACCTCCCAAAGGCATCAACGACGCCATGTTCCCCCTCTGCGTCTTCTTCTTCTTGAGAGTGAGAGAGGGAGACGATAAGCTTGGAGGAGACGAGGAGTTCGACCCTTTTATGGTAAGGAGAGGCGGACATGCAGCCTGCCGCATCTGCCGGCGGCGTGTCGGGGTGGGGAGACATCTAATTCTCAACAATCACCACACGTCGCCGCTACGAGGGCGGCCCAGCTGGCTCTCCTCCGACGCGACCGTCGGAGAACACTCCTCCCCTGAACACGAACGGCTGAGCGCCGCCACATCACAGCACGCTGCCTTCTTTCTCGGAGTTCCATAGTCAACCAGAGGGAACAAGGCCGAGACTCGAAGCTTTTTGGGTAATGTCAATGCCTGGGTTACACCGAGGAAGGAGACTGTCATGATATGGCCGATTATTTTCCACCCCCCTAGTGCTGTACAAGGCACGGTGTCCCGACGAACGGCGGAGCCTAATCCTCGAACATCCCCTCGTCCGACACGCCGGGCGACTCCGTGCCGTTGACAAAGGGCTTGCCCGCCGCGGAGACCGAGCTGGAGTCGCCGAGAATCTCGTAGTCAAAATCCAAGCCATCGTCGTCGTCATCTTCTTCTTCCTCTTCTTCTGCGCCCTGTTCGGTGTTCTCCCTGAGGGCGTCCCTCCGGCTGCTGCCTTCCCCGCGCGTCTGCTGCTTTATAGCTTCCTCGTAGGGCATATCGTACCAGACATTGCCTTTGCCTACGATAGACCGGTTGTGGTCCTCGGTCATCCTCACCTGCTTGCTCTTCTCCGAGTTCTTGGGCTCCCCCCAGTAGTCGTACCGGTACAGAGGGCTCGTTGGATCGTACCGGTCCTTCCCCAGGACGCTGTCATCCAGATATCTCCCCGGCTCTTCCAGCGGCATGTCGAGGGCTCTGCGGCTGCCATGACGGAACCAAGAGCAACCCACAAGGGGAAAGAAAGATGAGGAGAAGCGGCCAGCACCAACAGTAATAAGGACTATAATAAAAACAGTAATGATGAACAGAGACGGGAAAGTTGGTCACCCAGAAAAAAAAAAGCTTGTTCAACCTTTGCTAAAACAGGCACACAAGACGAGGCATTCGATGAACTGCACCGGGGATGATTGACGAGTTCATAAAAAGTAAAAAATAAATGTACCGATGCAGTCAGGTTCTTGATGGTGTTTTGAGGGATGGAAAGTTTGAATCGATCCGACGCGGCCAGCACCAACATTAAGACGGATTCTGAGCAGCGATAACAGGTGGTTCGGTGGTCATCACAATAACAGTAATGTTGGTCACCCAGAAACAAGCTTGCTCACGCTTTGCGAAAACAGGCACACAAAGAAAAGGTATCCGATGAACTGAATCGAGGATGATTGATGACTTTATTTTTTTCTGGGCTGATACTGTCGGGTTTTTGGCGCTGTTTAAAGGGATGGAAAGTCTGAATCGACCATGAGCTTCAGCAATCCAGGAAATGCTGAGAATCAGGTAAAAGATGGGAGTTCATCTTGACAGAAGACCTGTGGTCACCGGCCAGTAGCCAACTATTTTCATGCATCAATTTTAAGGTGCTAACCAGGCCTGTTAGCAGTGTTGCAGTATCTTCTAGCCCCCCCTGGAATCCCTTTTTGGAGAGGAAGGGAGAAAGAAGATCACTACCGCAGCTCTCCATCAATTACATGCTCAAGTGATTCAGATAGTTCAGGGCCTACGAGCATACGTGGAACCCATTTCTGCAATTCACTGAGAAGCCGGCATAGAACCCACTGTTGGCTATCCTGGTTATCAGTAATCAGCATGTAAAGTCCAGCGCTTGCTATACAGGTCATCGGCAGGCAGCATGTCGTTTTCCTTTGAACCCATGACAGGTCAGACTTAGCAAGCCGATAAACCACACTTCCACAAGTAATGTGTCAATCTTTCAGATCCTGCCTCTGGTTCACAGGAGTTTCTGCGGCTAGGAAATTTCTTTTCTAAGCTATGAGCATGGAAGCATGAGAATACGAATAGGGCAAGAGATGAAATTAAACGGATGAATGAATAATCTAAAGAACAGATGGATACAATAAACATCAAAAAACAAGTCGTGAGGTGAATTTGTTAGCAGTTTTAGTTCATTCATCAGTAACGCTAGTTTCCATAAATAAATTAAGAGATAAACTGCTAAGAAAACTAATTTAAATTCTCGTGTTCAGTCTCATTAAACCTTAGATTCTAGTAATTAAAACGTCCCGTCTAATATCACATCTTACAAGTTGCTGCAGATAGATATCATATGAAAGCGAGCATCAGCGCCAAGGACAGTCAAAAATTAGACTATGCTACCGTAAAGGCATGCAAAACCCATCTGAAACCTGGACAAAATGTGGAGAATAGACCACGAAACATACATCAGGCACATATTATGCAGCATGGTATAACTAAGCATGTTCACCGGAAAAATTATAAGCGGATCACGATTCTCAATTTGAACTGTGAAATTCAATGCGAGAACATACACACTAATATCTCTGATCAAAGCCTCTCTTTCTTCCAATGAGCGACGCCAGTGGAGAAAATCATACTCGTCCATTTCAATCATCCGCCTCGTCTTTGGCGACTTGTATTCCTCTCCTCTCTCTCTGGCTTCATTCTTGAGTCTATTGTTGAGCTAGATCAGAGCAACAAAAACATTGGGCAACATCAGAATTATCATATCTTTTTACAGAAACAATACCAAGTAGAAACTACAGAATCTTGGGGGGGAAAAAACCACTAGTTCGAAGATCAGGCATACCAAAGCCTGTAATGAGGGCATGCAAAAAAGAAAAATCAAATAAGAAGAGGTTAATCTAGCTAATATTCACTACATATATTACCAAAATGAGGTTTTTATTTCTGCTCGTCATCAAGACATCAAAGAATATAAGATGAATTAAAATACCATTGGCATTTGAAGCAGATGATCCAAGTCTTTGGAACATCAATTATTAGACACTCTCTGATAAACTTAAACATGAAAATTTCCCTAGAACCGTGTCTAACACAAAAATAAAAGTTCACAAAAGTATAGGTAATTTATCCCACTGTTGAAGACCTGCATCATTGTTCTCAGACCTCGGGATATATTTTACAAAGTTTTCAAATACACGAAAATGATCTCTCTCACCCAAGTATGAAAATGAGCAAAATTTCAGAGTACCTCTTTTGACTGGTCTAACCAAGAAAACAAACTTCAAAGATTTATGTTCCATCTTTGATTTTATCAAAACAGATAAAAAAAGGTTCTTAAGTTTCCGCTCTACGCCCTGATAGAATATGAAATACTGAACAGCGCATAATGGCAAACCAGAAATGAAAGCCACATTATCACAGGCCCACAATTCAGCTCAAGGATCACCAGCGATCAGTTGAATAGGCTTTTTAATCCATACTCTGACAAGGCAAACACTATTGATCGTCTGGCATCACTCGAATCCAATATCAACTTCCCTCTACCTTCCATTTTTGTTTAATGAGCATCAACCCACATGATTCTGAGAGCTTTCATGTTAAAATTCGATTCAAAGAAACAGTTTCGCAATTGAAGAATTAGTAAAAATCTATCAAAGAATGCAAAAATCTTTCCGAAAATCTAGAAACAAGACAGATCTATCAATTTAATGAGGAAAAAGTATATATATACCATTCAACCATTTGCGTCTCACGGAAAGAAAACCTTTTTTCCGTTTGAAGAAACCAGAAATCCTGTATAGGAATCTTTCCTATAATCAGGGCGGCATAATGAACAACTAACCTGTCGTTCAGCTCGAGCAGCGTCTAGGTCAAGTTCCCTGACATTAGTTTTCTGTCATATAAAAAATAAAAAAATTATATACGGGGCCAATGAGATCCTCAAAACGTCAGAATATAAGGACTCAATAGCTGTAATTTCACCAATATCGTCTTTGGGAGCCATGATTTTTTGTAATAGACTTCGGTGTGTTCAATGCTATGCTCTTCGTCATAAGGAGCATTGAAAAATGATTCAAGAAATTCTTTGTCCTTGTATTTATCTGGATTTTTCTCCTCATCATCCAGAATCATTTGTTCTGACACATGAAGTTGCCACAACTGCACACAATAATTTGAAATGCATACCAAACAATTCAGTTAATCATACTTAAATAAATCGACAAATATTAATAACATGAAGAACGCTAAATTACAGAAAAAGAAGCACACGAAGCTTATTCAACAAAATCAGACAAAACATTAGCAATTTTACGTTCAACTGAAACTCAATAAAGCAGGAAGGAAATCGGTAAAACATGCTCACATTAGACTATGTCGCAACATATAAGCTAGATGATCAAAAATTTGTTTAAAGTTTTGATTTATGTTGAACAAACTTTCTATTAAATTCCAAAGACAAATTCCATCGTATCATAAACTAGTAATGGATTCCCTTTAATAGGAAAGAGGGGAAGAAGAAAAAGGGTAAAATTACTGCATGAAATGAGACTTGTCTTGAATGACTATGAAAGCGAGATATGCTTCCCAAAAAAGAGCAGAGTTATGGCAAAAGTATGTACATACATTGCAGATAGAACCCTAAGGATAATGACGGAGCGATATCCACATTAAGGATTAAGAGCATAGACAATTCCCCGATTTAGAGCAAGATGGTTTTTGCTTTAAAATTGATTAGTTTTGCACAACTCAAATTTATGACAAAATTCCAGCATCACTATGTAAGAAAATATTCCCTTTTTGAGCATAAATTACGACATTATATCCCTGACTCAAACCTCAGAAGATAGTTCACACATAAGATCATTTGGAAAGAGTAGATAAATACCTTGTCAACATAGGGATGATTTGACAACAAAGCCTGCTCTTCGATTTTGTATCCAGGATTTTTCCTGGGAATTGGTGGCCTTCCAGCATCCCTCTATGGATGGAGACATGAAATAAGAAACCACAGAAAACAGTGAACAACAAACAGCAGTCAAAATATAGAAGCACCTTTTCTGACTTCATTTGGGAAAGATATTGTATTAGTCCTAATACTGACCTAGTCGATATAAACCCGTGTTGAAAAATTCAGGAATGAAAAATAAGTAAAATTTATTTAGGGGAGACGCCTTTTCCAGAGAGATTGGGTTTATTTTTCAGCTCGACAGGATTTGTGGACGGTTTACAAATCATAGCTTAAAGCCAAAGATTATATTCAGCTATAAAGGAAAAGATTTATTGAGAACGGTCTTGCAACTCATACTAGATAGGTGCTAAAATCCACAAATTTATTGAGAGATGAAATGTTCTTGCAATCCGTGTTTGATAGATAATATAATCCTAAGATTTTATGAGCGATTAAATGTTTTCGAGCATCATATTAGATAGGTGATAAAGTCCAAAGATTTAGTGAGAGATAAAATGATCTTCCAACTATATTAGATATTTGCTAAAATACAAAGATTTTGCAACAGATATGAATATTCTTGTGAGCCATAGTAGATAGTTACTAATATCAAAAGATCCTGTGAGACATAATTGTAAGTCAATGTCTAATGGAGTTTGGGAAGGCATGGGCTGCTGTGTGCAAGTCTAATAGAACATGGGCTAGAAACATGTGGGATCTGAGATTCCGCATTTAACTGCAGCCTTCTCCAACATGGAGGGTCAATATGAGTCGGTCATTGCGTGAGAATGCATGTGAATGCATTGGGTAGGGGAGAGATAAAGAGAGAGAGATCATTGTGCTGGACAATTATGTGCAACTGACTTCTACAGGAAAACAATATTGGGACTGCCAGAGGTGCCGCCTTCCCTTTTTCCATCTCTTCCTTCAATGGCCTCTATGACTGGCACCAGTTGTGTAGTTATTTGCAAGCGACCACCACCATCAGCATCACCATGGCCACAACCATTCCCAATCACAACTATTGGCCCAGCCATAATTCCCTTAATTATTATCTTCTCCCACTTTCTTGTCACTGCCACATGACAAAGATGGAGATTCCTTCCCAAAACCCAAAACATTAACTTATTGCACTCTACAACACATTATCTTCCTCTTTCTAAACAGAGAGAAACCATCATTCTTCGCCCACAATAGTGGTACAAGAAACTACGGATACACTTTAGGTCACAAACTGAGATCCTAGATGTATACTTTATACTGTGTGCAATTTTTTCATTAGCAGTCTAATTAGAACCTAACTGCTGATGACCTTTATCACACTAAGATCAGATCTCCCAGCCCACGATGGATTTTCTTTCTTAGGTCTATAGAATGCAGGGAGGGGAAAAGATTGTTTTCCTTTTCTCACCCCATATACTCTGCATTCTCCTTTCGTCCCCAGCAAGCCCCTCCCCTCCCTCCGAGCCCCAATTGTTCACTTGTTCTCCGGTTTTATATATTTCTACATTTTGTCCTGGCTGCTGTCCATGTCCATTTACATAAGACAACAAAAGGGAGGGAAAATGCAAAAGAACATGCCCTTCTTATACCAATCAATGCAGAATTTTTTTAGCCATAGAGGCAGATTCAAGAGGGCAGTTAACGTTACACACCACGGAATTGTGCCACAGCCACAAAGGAGAAGGATTTCTCAAGATTAAAACTGGATCAGTGAGATTAATCTTTTGCTTCATGTTATGCATGATGCCGAGGGTATGATTTGCGATGCAACAGAAAAAAACAACCACAGATCTTTGCAATTCAAAAACTGAGTAAAGCACATTACCCACAATTCTTCTGGATTTTTGTCTTCTTCTCGATGAAAGATTGGTGGAAACTCAAACCTATTGAATCTGCATACCAAAAAGAGTGGAAGCAGAAAATAAGTGACATATATAACAAGTACTGAATTAAAAAAAAGATGATGTCTAAAAATTAATAAAAGATTACTTAAGTACTTTTTTCCAGAAAACTAAACATGTAACAAATGGCGAGGTAATAATGCGAGATATGAATAAAAGAGATGGATTAAAATGACTAGATGAAAATAATGATGGACGTTATTGCGGATTACACATTGTTTCAAAGAAATTACAAAAGTGAATAAAATGGCAGACAATATTGCTAAGGAATTCCACACGTATTTCATGTAATAATCAAATAAATGACAAGAGACAAGTAGCTGGTAGCTTGATAAATTAGATGTAGAGGAATGGCAAATTCTTTGACTAGGGACAAGGGTTGGCCCTTAACCTTATACCATCCCTTGCATTATTTTGAATTCCTGACTATAGTCAGTAGAGACAAAAAGTATTTAGAAGAAAAGGATCACAAAACATGCCACGTACATTAGGTGATCTATGTTAGGATCAACAAAGCGCATTTCAAGTGGAAATCGAAACCGATAAGGATCCCGTTTAGCCTGCAAAAACAAAGAGGAAGATAAGAGTGACTTTCCGCTTAAATTATTACCGATACCACGAAAGAGTTTTCTGATGTACACACATAAATATGCAAATAGAAGAAAATTTTGACCGGATATCTACATTAAAAAGATAACAAAGGATAACTTACCAGAATTTCAACAATTACTTGCATACCAACTTTTATGTGATGACGAATCCAGTACCAATCATTACCCTTTATTGGGACCCACCTAAATGATGGTAAGAGATGCATTATAACCACGAACCTTCAACCATAACTAGCAGAGAAATAAGTAACCTTAAGAATCAAAATCCTTAAATCTGAACAAAAATTCTGACTTCCAATTTCACATTTGGATTATAGAACAAGCTATTGAACTAGATTGATGGGAGAGATTAGCAGTCGCCAGATGTAGAAATCAGGCAAACTAATCACTCAGTTGTATGCTTTTAGAAGGCTACACTCCATGAACGTCCAAATGGCCAAAGTCAGCAAAACTCCTCATACCTATGATAAGAAAAATACGTTGAGTTTTTTTTCAGAAAAAAAATTCCTAAAATAACATATTGAAAAGTTTATAAGAAAGGAATGACACCAATTGAATCATTCTTCTGTGGTAGCCTTGTTTTGAGCATGGCCATCACAACGGCATGTAACTTTATGGTCTCAAATCTAGATATCAGAATTCAACAGAAAGCTCTTTACAGTTATTGACTATGCTCACACATTCCTGGAGAAAAAAATTAACAGTTGGTTTTCCAAATTCTAAGCACAACTCTGAAAAAAATAGGCAGCGCAAGATTCACGGGGCAAGGCACCACTCCATTAAGGAAAATCGTTTCTCACTAGATGAGCAAACCATTAGGTCAAGAACAAGGTATTACCCGTCATGAACACATCCAACGTCAACAAATGCACCTTGTTGAAGGTGGAGAGTAGTCACTTTTCCAACACAAATCTGCATTCAAGCAACGATTTTATCATAAGGTCAAATAAAACGTAAATGTAACAATACCTGAAACTAGAACATGGATGGTGTATTTGACAAGACAAGTTCTTCATACCTAGTCATAGCATTTTTTTCAGAACTATGCAGGGAACATTCTTGGAAAATAAAAAAACTAATCTGGAAACAAAATCAGGATACCCAGGGAAGTGTTTTTGCCAAAAAAACGACCAGAAAACATTCTAACATGCCAATTTGAACATTACCAAAACACGTCCTGGGGAAATGAGAAAAACTTTTCCCAACACTTGACAAGTAGTTTAACTATGACAATTTGGAAGATCCCACAAAAAACCTCAATGAGATAATGACTAATTTGACACCAGTTGAGTGGATATAATGATTGAAACTCAATGACAAGAATCATCACCATAGGAATTAGTATGGTCAGTCTAACTAACTGCTCTGAATTTTTTTGATAATAATAGTTTTTCCATGACCAGATAGCTGATGCTTTTAGTACATACTCGATGTGATGCCTGGGCGTTCAACTTTCCACAGAAATGTTTCCTTTGGCACAAGGATACGACTGGATATAACCATATTCCTTTTCTTTTAAATGCTTTCCAAATTGAATGCGCGTGGAAAACATATTTTTAAATATGCGCATGTGTCATGCACATGAACCAAAGAGAAGTCTCCAGCTAATGCAGACAAAGACGCTCAAGCTTCCAGTAAACTGATAAACATGAATGCTTACCTGTCCAGGATAAAAAAATGGAAGCTCAAGCTGCAATAGAAACTAAGAGTGATTAGTAATGGAAATCTGATCACATATGATGAACAAGTAGAATAATCAAGCAAACAAAATCGTTTCACCATATCATCTTTGTAGTCCTTTCCTCTTTTTCTCCTACCAGAAAAGTAATCTTGGTCCAACTGCATGAACATTAAGAAGATTGAAATGGATGGCTAAGTAATAAGTGGCACAATTACCTTCTATATGCAACTACTCAGGTAATACAACAAACAAGACAAACTCAGTAATAATAGGTTTCACATCCTCCCCAAATCATAAAACCTTGCCATACAGGAGTATAAAAAAGAAAGGAAGAAAATTTGGCATTAACAAGTCATAAAAAAATTGGTAGTGATAGAAGCAAGTAGAGTTTATTGCTTTATATCAGAATTGGTTAACACGCAGGTCAGGATGTCACTTCAAGGAGAGTGACTAACAATACTTCAGGATGTCACAACACCAGCTGAGACTTGCACTTAATTGATTAGGAAACCAGTATAATCCCTTATTTCAAGATGATTCATCTAAATTACGAAAAAAATGGACAAGCCATAGTGAACCATTCTATCACTAAGTTTTTTCATTTCCTTTCTTCCTCTAATGACTCACTGCATTCACATTTTACATGCTGCATTCGTTTCTTTCCATCATATCAAGGCTGTGAGCTATGTTGTGTTTGATGTTCCTCTGCAGAACGAATTCCTCCCAATGATACACTAGTTGTACTAACACCACACATTCACTGTCTTGTGTCCAATTAGTTATAGGACCATATCCATGCCATAAATCATATCAAAGTCTTTGTTTATCAAGGTTGCCACCTATATTACCTATTAGGAATCTTCATTTGATTAATCTACTGACAATAAAAGGAGGTTGTCCTACACACAGAATGGCAAGCAGTAGCACAAACTTCCTACAACATTCTGGACGACTTTGATTAAGAGAAACATGTGTTTTTTATAAAGTAAAATGCCACATTTTCTTTCTACTAACCAATGATAATGAGGTATTACCCATTTAGGAAAAATAGGGGATGTGAGGTCAATTTTTACCTCATAAGTGCCGAGGTAAAATAAAACTTTTTGCCAATGTCCTATGTAGGCAGAAACGTGCATAGCCTAGGCATTTATATCCATTTGTAGTATTACTTTTCCTCTTCCCTAGAAATGTTTTGCCCACATTAGTACATGATGTTTGTCCTACATACAGGAAACTTTTTTAAACTAAAACAACAATCATGAAGTAAATTGAGTGTGGTATCCAAACATAACAATATAGCACAAAAAAGTTCTCAAAACTCTCCATTCACTTCAAATTAAGTAATCGACTGATCCATATAGGTGCCACATGGAAGTATTCTGGCCCAATTTTTCAGAAGTAAAACGGATTTCAGGATAAATCAAACCCAGATTCGCATTTCGACTAAAATCAACATTATTGGAAAATGAATGAGCAGATAGATATTATTCTTTTTCATTTTTATGGTATTCATTATAAAACATGAGCAGAAATGATTTCCAGGGCATTTGGAAGCATGACCAAATATTCAATCAAAATGAATAGATCCCAAAGTTTCCCAAAAAAATAGATTTAAGAATATGTGCGGAAAAATTCAACTACAACAAATTTGATGATTTACTCTTTAAATGAATTCGATTGATGAAACCTCAGGAATCAAAACTGTTTTTTATGCTTAAATGTGACCTTTAAGATTATAATAATAAGAGCTTGTCCATGACAGTAGATTATTTTTTCTCAAAATATAAACTACTAAATGTATTTACCTCTTTAAATTAAATAGCATTTTAATTAACAAGTAATCGAACTCATTGAAGAAACAAAATATCATATCGCACTGCTCATCAGATATGGAAACAGAGAGAAGGTATATGGATGGACATCATTGGGCCCATTACATATGCTGTGCCTAATTGGTTAACGTTGGAAGCCATTATTCCAAACTTTTAGCAAAAGCCAGGTACAATGGTTATCCTCGTGTGATGTTGCCAATACATATCCATTCTCGATTTCGGATGTATTTAGATCAATACAATATGTCACATATTCGCACCAAATAAATGCAATCCTCTCGTATATTGCCGTTCATAGCTTCTTCATTAATAAATGCTTTAATGACCCATTACATGCCTTTTTCCCAGACCAACTCAAATGTCTTTCAACATGTGTGTGTGTGTATATATATATATATATATATATATACTGACAGTTTTGACTCTGACAAGCACGAATGAAGATTTAAGTACACCTAACTCGAGAACATTTTGCACATCATACGATAATTAAAATCATGATATCATAGAAAAAAGGGAAAATGGAACTCATATCTCAAGAATGAGAATTACGCACTTCTTTTTCAGATAAATCAGCATATTAGTAAAAGATTCTCATGATTAGATCTGATTTTAATCAGTCAAATAATTTCATGTCACGCAAATTTTAGTAAAGTTTCACTCTACCAGTATATACACCTAAAAGCATAAGAGTCTAGCTCAAAACTCCCTAGTAGCAAAGGGAAATAACCTAATGAGGATGATCTAACCAGAAACCCAAAAAAAATAAGAATCTGAGCAACATGAGGAGGATTGAGATTTAAATCCCCAAACAACAAGAGTATTGAATCCCCAAACGTAAGCTTGGTCAGTTTTAGGACTTCATAAGTTGAACCATGTAGACATACTTATCGAATGTAAGTCAGCTAACCTTTGTGAAATATAACATGTCACCCATGTAATTAATTATGGAACAAATACAAGCAAGCACTTAGCTCTAACACTGGTTGGCAGATAACCATGGTTTTCATTAGGAAATTCATCTTCTAGAAACTTAAATCAAACTTTACAACAAGACTTTTGACAATGAAATACATTTTTCTGTCACCAGAATCATAAGCAGAAAATTAATGGTGCTCATAAAGGTGCTCTTTGTGGAACCTTTCAAGAGCAAGACCATGTTAGAGGTACATAAAAAATCTAACCCCATACTGTAGTTCTAAGAATTTTCCACCTCTGATTACACCAACAACCTTATCCAAATATCCCCACAGAGAACTGAATACATGTTTGCACTGAAGTCCCATCTATAGACGTTATGTTGACTAAAGCAATTCTGAGTTGGGTTCCATGACTCTTAATTTGGTAGAAAACTCAGGCCCCAAGGAATCTGGCAGCATATAAGCTTTGGTAACCAAGGACCATCAACTCCCCAACAACTTCGTTTCTGTTATCTCTTCATTTTTCATCTTCAAATATCGGCACAACTGTCATTATCCATAAAATCCAAGCTAATTACCATCAAGGAAGTCAAACTCCTCCCACCGTTTTACTCAATTACCTTGTATATGATACCCAGCATTCGCAATTTAGTCCATTCCCTCACTTAGCACACTTTCAAGTCATCAATTCCCATTGAAGACGAAATGAAAATGGTCCACTCAGTTGAGCTATTTAAAAGACATGAAAGCAAACCAAACGAGGCTTTATTTCTTTCCTTGGATGGTCCCCGAGATATCCGGCTTATTTAGTCACTTTTACGTTGACATCATTGCAGAAGAATACAGGAAGAGTGAGACTTCCCAGAGGTACTCCTTGCATAATTGCTATTAAAGAGATGGGCGAGACCAGACCTCGTATGCTTCGTCTTCTAATCTGTCACGGTTGGCAACCGCCCACTCCGTGTACTGCTTCATGAACACTTTGTATCTCTCGAGAGAGGCTGAATCAACATCGGTCCTCACTTCACTCTCCAAATCCACCCTGTCACACTCAAGCTTGTGTGCCTCCCGAATGAAAGCCAGCTCGTCCTTATCCACCGTCCACCCTCTTGGAGGCCAATCCCTTGGTGGTACCATCCTCAGCGCCAGCGGCCCGTCCCACAACGTTGGCTCCTGTGGGTCGGGGGGATTCTTCGCCATCTGGCTGTCTATCTGCCACTGAGTGTAAGCATCGCCGTCAAGGCCCTTGCTCCGGCGGTACGCGGGGCTGAGCATTTTGAAGGCCTCAATGGCCTCGGGAGACTGGAGGGGCACCTCCTCCCCTTCGTTGAGACTCTTCCTGGCGAAGTCGCCCTCGGGGGTGAGGATCTCCTCCCATGGGGCCCACCCTCTCTCGACCCAGTTCCGGCGCCGGGCCTCCTCCTCGGACTCATTCTCCTTCGGAGCAAACTTGGTCAGGAACTCCTCGTCCACGGGCAGCTCGTCCGGAGCGTAGGTGGCCCTAGGTGGCGGTAATGGCAGGGGCATCTGGAAAAGCTGCTGCTGCTGCCGCCGCCGAACACGACCCTGCTGCCACCGCAGGCGCTGCCATGACAGGAGAGGACAGCGAGCACTGTTGAGGAATAATGGTGCGGAGGGGACGACCGCCCGGGGAATTGCGGGGACGGAGGAGGATGCAACAGGGAAGAAGTCGAGGAGATGAGGAGCTTTGCAGCTGCCCATCGGGAGATATCAAAAGAACACCTCCAGGGAGATGAGGCAGTTCCGGGGTTTTGGATGGGTTTCTATCGAGAGGGAGTGCCTGCATATATAGATAGTGGGATATAAAAATAAATAAATAAAATATATATATATAGCGGGAGAGAGAGAGACCCATCGGTCTCGTCACAATTTTTAAGGGTTTTATTTGTTACTTACTACATTTGTAATATATTACTTGAAGACCGAGTTATATTTACCATTTTTTATACCTCGAAAACAGACGCATTTTTAAGTCTCGTCACAATTTCTATTTCCTACGATGGGCATTTCTACTCGACCAACCCATAGTGACCAATCTACCCCAATCAAATCCCTGTCGCCGATCAGATATAGAATGGAATTTGAGAAAACAAAGTCCCAAGGCCTAAAAGTTAAGATCAAACTCATGTCTTAAGCTGATGAGAATGCCATCAAATGCATAATTTCTATGAATGAGCCATTTTATTACCACCCAATATGCATTGATTCTATGTAAAAGGCAATTGATTTCACAAAACTATTAGATTAAAATGATCCCCTGAAGATAAATAAATTAGAAAGGTTATCAAGGTAAATAGGTCCAGGAATAAACGGTGTTCCACTGATTTTTCATTTTTGAATTTTCTATAGCTTGGAAGACTGAATAGAAGTAGACCCAATTTAACGTTCATTAGAATAATGAGTATTTTGTGATTTAAATTTTGAAATGTTTTAGGCTAAAGGTCATTAAAAAAATCATGTAGACATCAATTTAATGATGTAAATAGGTTGTAATTATTTCCTACCTAGACCAAGTTATTTGAATTATTAAATAAAAATTTCTTAGATAGTGGAAAATTCAAATGTATTAATTGAATTTAAGCAATATATATTAGAACAATATATGATATATTAGAACCCAAATCATTTATGTCAATATTTTTAACTAAGTTTTTATTATAACCATTGTCTTAGAACTTGATCAATTTCATTTGAATGACAAACAATTATCCATATGAAAGTATTTGGATGGATTTCATATAGCCTCTTTCAAACTTTTCAACATTTTAATCAATCAAGTAATATGTCATACAATTTTTTTTCCAAAGGCATCATCCAAATCAATTCAAAACTAAAGTTATCAATGGATCATATGATTTCACTATGTCAACAAGTAGTTTGTAAAAAACAAAATCCCATATAGAGTTGGCTCTCTTGTTTAGGGTTTTATTTTTTTACTTGCATAACCAAATTGCACACAAATACAAATACAATATCTACTTATGGAATCTAGATAATTTGAAATTAGTGAATTTTTATGTTAAATTTAATAATTCATGGCTTTCACATTATGACAGAATTTTTGCTGATATGAGGTCAACACTTCAAATATTATTAGTCTATCTAGTTGGGTCCCACTTAACCTTCATCTTACACCTTAGTGCTAATTTTTTAAGTAATAGGGATGCCAATGTGTCACATAATTGATGATCATGTATCATCTTCAACTTGAGCACTCAAATATTGAAATGAAAAAAAATATGAATGTTTTTTTGGATGAAACTTGAGGTACAAGGTAACATGGATGCATTGAGTGAATTGATGGATGGAGTCTTAAGGAGGTTGTCACATGGTTGCTTATCAAAATGCTTCAACCATATATTAAAGTTAGGGGTACTTGCAACCCCAACTAGTCTAAACCTTCACAACCAGCTCAAATGATGACTTCTATTCTATTACTTAAGGTCCATGACAATAGGCATCTAGCCCTTATTATAAAGGCGACTAGTATCTTAATTAATGGATTAAGTGATATAAGATTAATAATAATCCTGTTGTTTACATTAAATATGATGTAATGTCCTATTGTACATGCTTGTTGTGCTATGTCCATATGTTGTTGTGCATTGTGCCATGTGCACCTACCAAGCAACATGGGCTGACGTGGTGTGTGTGCTAGTCATGATGTGTCTTGTCAAGTTAATTGTTAGCTGTGAGGTGACACTTAAGGAATCTCACCTCGTCATACTAGCCACATGACATTTCATGTTCAAAATTTCAACATCTATGTTAGAGAGTGATGCAAGAGATATTAGTTGATAAAATCTTTGAATTGTCAAAGATTAGTGTTATATTCTCACATTGTATCTTTATGTTGTTCGTTACACCACTAGATGAGGAAAAACACAATGATGTGTCTAGTAGCACCTACCACTATAGATATCTTTACGGTTTAAGATGAATCTACCATCTTAGCATGGTATGTCCAAATTCTTCATAATGGTCATTGCAAGTGCTTGCCTTTTAGATCCTACGTGTTTATTTGATATGACTTAAGCAATCAACTAATGTTAACTTATTAGCTTACCCTTATAATGAGCTTGAATAAATTGTTGTAATACAATACTAAGTCCTTGTGTCACTTAATTTGCATCATACTCTTTTGAGCTGATGGTAGCCATAACATCACTAGATTGTCAATAGTATATTTTGTTGATACTTTAATGTGAAAATTTATTTATTGATTAATTGAGTATTCAATAAATTTTATGAGAGATTGTGTTAAAGGTTCAATATTTCTAAAAATTATTTAATATATATAATGTTAATGCTCTTGTGATCCTATGACTAACAAGTGAATCAAATGAGTTATTCTTGTATATATTTATATCATTGGAACTAATATAGCATCTTAGATCCATACATAAGTACATGAAATTTAATGCGAATGCATGTAAGTGAATATTTACAAAATCACAAAATATCAAAGTCACCTAGAAGTCTTAAATCTAGAATTTAGACAATGACACGTCAAAAGTTTTAGTGAAGAAATATCTGAAAAATCACAAAAATATCAAAGTCACCTACAATCTCAAACTTGGAATCTAGACAATGACATGTTGGAAGATTTAGTGAGAAAATATTTAAAAAATCACGAAATATCAAAGTTACATGTGAGTCTTGAATTTGAAATCTAGATGGTGGCATATTAGTGGTTTATGTGAAGACAATGATGGATTAAGCATATTTATTTAGGCTCGACCTCAATATCAAACTTATTCATTTGAGTAGACATTCAATTTTAAATAAAACAGATGAGAAAATAGAGTTTTGAGGCATGAAAAGGTAAAAGTCATTGGCGACATTTTGGATAACATAAAGATTTTTTAGATTACATAGCTATTTTTCAAGACAAGAGATGACTAGAAAATGAGTAATATAAAAAAAAGGAAAAGTCTTGTGAAGATAAGAGAATACTCAAAAAAATATATCTCTCTCTCTATCAAAGTTCAATCAGTACAAACTTCAATGGAACACAATTACCTCTATCTCTCTCTACTTTTGACATAATATAGCTAATATTGTTTTTTATTTAGGACATAGTATATGCCACAACCTCTCATGTTTGTTCCATATGCTCCTAATAGGCCTTAACAAAGTAGTGTGTTGGTTCCCACTATTTGAATAATTTTAGTAATGTGAGAGTTGATGTCATATTTTCTAGTTTGATTTGTCAATTTTTTTTTGAAAAATTATATTGGATAATGTCAAGTATGTTGATCTAGTTCTCTTGACTAGATAGTACATAATGTTACAAGTACTTTTCCAACATTCTATTAATACTCTTTCCATGTGGCCATTAATTTGCCAATATCAAATCTTTGAGAAGGTCAAATATGTACCAAAAATAGATGAATAGTGATGCCCATAATTTGTTGAAGCTTGCATCCTTATTAAAATAATATTTTTCAAGATGTCTCACAATTTCACCACATTTGTCATGAAATGCACTCCACTTTGTGTACTTTGCAATTAGTACAAATCAACACAAAGGTTATGTATATTGAAAACCTTTTTACTATGACTAAGATCATATCATGATTTTTAAATTTTGATAGACCTATGATGAAGTTCATTGATAAAAATTATATATATTCAAGTACTAGTAGCTGCTCTAATGTCTTCATCACTCTCATCTATTCTATCTAGTCTTATTAATGGATCATGGAGTAGACATAAGTTTCCACTCTTTCTTCATATTTAGCTAGAAATAGTTATTAGACATAAAGACCAATGTACATTGCTATCTTAGGTGGCATATGTGCAATGCATTATGCATTTCCTACAATAAGTGCCACCAAATGTTGTCGTTATGCTGCACCTAGGTCACTATTTCTTCACATAGAAAATATTCTCCTCAGCCTAGAAACAATGTGTCTCCCTTGTCACCACTTGTTGTAACAACCTTGTCACTATTATATTGTTACATATACCACACATCTCATTTTACAATTTACCAGTGGTTGCCAAGGATGCTTCTTCTACAAGTTGAAGCTTCTATGCTGAAAAGACAAGTTGACGCTAAAAGGAACAAGAAGGTGCTTGTGTTTGTGAAAGGCCAGATGGGCAGTAATAAAGGCAATCAATAGTACATGGATATTCTTCACATCTAGGAAGAAAGGATGAGCGGTTATATTAGTAACTCATTGATGTTGTTGATGTAGACATTGAATACGTTCTCAATAGATAATGTCATCATAAATATATAGATAATGAATGGTTGCCATTAACTCATTCTCATAGATATAGTATTGTTGTTTTGTTTCACTATGTTTTCAATTTTTAGACAACAAGAGGTCCCTTTCTCAAATGAGCACCTTATCACTTTGCTCGTTGTTATCAAAATGATCAAATTTCAAATATTTAAAAATAAATTCAAAAAATGATTAAAATACTTTTTTTGGTTCATTCAATACATCTATAGAGATAATGATCAATTTTTTAATTCTAAACATTTTATTGAAATAATTTTTTTAAGAAAAAATAAAATAATCTCGTCCATGCTTTAAATCTTCCACAAAATGTTTGAGCTCTAAATCATTCAGGTTCGATGTGTGATCATGTTTAGCATTGATACATGGCTCAAGACTTGCAAAACATTTCAGCAGAAATGACATAAGAAATTGCAAAAATAAAGCAAAAAGGCGATAAACAAAACTTAA